AATTTAAAGTAATTTTTTCATCAAAATTCAAATTTATATTTATTTATATTAAATTCATAAATAAAGAAATAGAAGGTTAGTCTATTAAAAGACATGACGCAAGAGTAATTCTAACTATTTTTCAACATAGTAAGAAAGGAGGTAAAATTTAAATATATTTTAAAAAGAAGAAGAAATATTTCATATGATTTATTTATTAGTTTTTTTATTTATTTTAAAATAAGAACGATATTAGATATGTTTTATCCATCCTCATCATATACTCAAATATATTTTATTTTAAAATTAGATATAGAATGAAAGATTCATAAATGATACAACAAAGAACTAAATAAATATTTTATAAACATAGATTCCCTAAGTTCAACTAGATAAATTGAATATTAAAATAAAATCATTTATTGATATTGTTAAGATAGAAAACTCTGATTTATAGATTGAAAATTTTTGATTTTTTTTCATGAATTAGTAAATCAAATTACATAAATACATACATACATACATACATAACTAGTATTTTTTGCAAAGAAAAAGTAGACAAAAATTAAAAAAAAGGCTTTCTAAAGAAGATTTAATTACTGCTTTGCAATAACTAAAAAAGGTGTGAATAAAAACTAAAAAATTGAATTGATTGTTATAACAACAATATATAAATAATTATAAATAAATAAATAAATATTTGCTGTTATTTACAGCATAGGAAATTGTTTTTTAGAATTATTTTAATTTTAAAGTTTCAGTCAATTTTATATAAAATTTACATGTTGTATAATGATAAATTTAAGCTATTTATATTTTAAATAAACATTAATATCAGTTTTAATTATTAAAATTTATCCATTTTTATTAATTTTAAAACAAATTCCAAGTTAAACACTAAAAAAATATTTGTGCTTAATAATTGATTATCATTTTTAAGATAACTAAAAAATGCCTAAAAAACATTCAAAAAAAATATTGTAATTTTATCTAAATTTTACATTGTTTAGATAATGATTTAATATTTTTAAAATTAATATTTATATCATTTTTATTGATTATTTTCTATCCATTTTAATTCTATAAAATAAGTGACAAAAATAAAGAATAAAAAATATTTCTACTTTATAATTAATTATTAATTTGAGCTAAGTAAAAAATGTATAAAAACTCAGAAAGAAAGGTGATCAATATAAATATAGTTTGTATTTTAATAGTTTTTTTTCTAAAATAATAAATCTAAAATCCAATAATTCAATTAGCTATACAATAAATAAATAATTATTTATTCATTAACTTTCAATTTTATTTCATAGAGAATTTCAAATAAATATTTTCTAAATATAACTAAATATCTATCTACTATCTATCTAAATATGTATTTTCAAAATAATGAGATTCTAAAAGCTTCTTAATCAAAGAAGAAAATTAATTAAAATTCTTAATCAATTTGATAAATTAGAACAATAAAATATCATTTATTAGTAAGTTAACCCTTATGAAGATTTAACTACTTTAAGAAATTATTGCTGCTATTATATATTTGCTGCTATTTTAAATTTGTAAGGTGGTCAATAGATCGTATTAAGTTGACGATAACTACTGTTAGAATGTAAACAAGGAATTAAAAACTTAAATATTAATTAAGAATTTCTTGAGTTATTTATTTATTAATTTTTTAAATGATAAATTTAAATTTAGTTTAGTTCCTTGCTAAAAAAAAAATATTTTTTTATAATGGCTAAATTTAAGTATTTTTCTATACAGAAAACTAATAAAAATGATACAAATCTTGAGTGGTATTAAAGAAAAATAATTAAATTTTAAGAAAGAATGGATAAATTTTATAAATTTAATATTATTGCAATAGCCAGCCATTCATTATAAAATTGTGAATGAATAAATTGTAAATCTAAAACTCAAACAAATATTTATTATATCTTGATAGTTAGTTAAAGGAGAGCATATATATATATATATATAAATAATAAATTCATTTTTTATTTTAAATTAGAATTTAAAGGAAAAAGCTCAACAAATTTTTTATGTATGTATTTGTCTAAAATCAGTCTTTTTAAGAATAATCAAAGAATGAGTGGCTTATTAGATAAAATTGTATAGGTTAGACCTTATAAAAAGATATGATCAAATTTTTTAATTTAATTTAAATTCCATCAAATTTATTATTTGGTAATTGTGCTTGTTTACAATATTTTACTTTTGTAAAGATCAAATTTTACAAATTTGAAGAAATATTTGTCTTTTTTAATTAATTTAATTAGTGGTTAATCAAAAAAAAAGAATAGATTGAAAAAAGGGGAGCGAGCAACGCTTTATTACATTATTTTATTAAATATAAATATAAATAAGTATGACTGAAATACTTTGTTCAAACAATCTTTTCTTTACTATTTTTTTAAACTAAATTTCTTAGTAAATCTCTATGAATAATATTTAATTGACTTTATCCCTCAAAAACAAACAAGACAAAATATTTTTATTTTTTTAAATGCGTTTGTTTATTTTGTTGAATATAAAACAATATCTTTAAGAAAGAAATGATTAATTAATTATAAAGCATAAAATCTATTTAGGTTAAGCTTAAAATATTACATAATTTCAATGCTTTGTTGCCATTTTATATTTTTTAAAATAGGTTTTTATAGAGCTGTATACAGAAAAGTAGTCAAAACAAAAATTCAAATAATATTTTTGGGATTCTTTAAATCAATCTGATATATATAATACCTAATCAAAAAAGAAACTTTTTTTCTATATTATTTTTGCTTTTTCTTAGAGTTAAATTTGATTTTTCTTAGATATTAAATTTTAGAATATTTCAATTCTTTTATTTTATCTTTAAAAATGGAGAGAAGAGTCAAGATAAAATTCTCTTAAATAATATTCAACAAAAAACAATTCCGAATCATATTTTTATATGCTTGTTTCTTAAAAAATAATTTAATGCTATGGAAATAATTTCCTTGTTTTTACTAAAAGCTGTGATTAAGTTTTTTATAAATTTACTTCTATTTTAAGTGAATATATAATTTGAAAGCGACCAAAAATCTAAATTTAAAAGCTTAAAACTACTAATACTCTACCCATAAAATTATAATTTTTATATTAAAATAATTTTTTTTATCTTTTAAGAGAGCAAATAAAAAGATGCTTGCTTGTTGATTTGCTGTTTGTACCTTCAATTTATATATTAGTAAAAAATAGTAAGTAAAAACAAAGTCTTTATATTAATTTTTAGAATCATTATTTCCTCTTAACTTTAAAAGCAAATTAACAAATAGTTAGATTATTAGATAGATAAATAATATTTTTATTTCATTTCAGAAAATATCAGTTGAAAAATTTAAATCTAATCGAACAAAGAATTATTTGTGTAATTATGTCTTATCAAACCAATAACTTTTCATTCAATTAGTAAAAATAGATGAATAAATAAATAAATAAATCAAAAATTTTTTCTTTCTTCTATTTCTTCTCATTAATATAAATTAATTAAATTCCTATTACAATCAAATAAATTGTAACTCAAAATTTAAAAATATATTTTCGGCTTATTATTTTTGTTAAAAAAATAAGAAAGCATTTTATTGATTGGCTTAAAGAGTTTAAAAATAGTGAATATTTTTGTTATAAAAGAAGAAATACATATGTTTATTTGTGTTAAATCTTGAATTAATATGTTTTTTTGCTTTCTGAAAACTTTAAATTTGTATACTTTTTTTATTATCTCTATTCATATGTTCGTTCATTGAGTTTGTTTGAAAGATTTCTGATAAAATCACTTTCTATTCAGATTTTAAATTTTCTGTGTATATTTAATTAATGTGTCATTCATTTTCTTTCAAGATTTAAAATGCACATCTTGAAAAATATCCAAAAATTTTTAGTTTTATTTATGATATCCCTTAATCTTTCTAATACTATTGCAAATACCTATTAACTTTTATCCTATTATTGTTATAAGTTATTAAATTGCTCATTCTGAGAGCCTTTATTGCAGTTTAGACTTTTATCAATTAAAAAACCCGGATCAAGTAAATTTGATAAAATAAAATTTATAAATTTAAATTCTTTCTTTTTTTTACAATTTTTTAATGTTTGTCACTATGAAAAAATTATAATTTTATATGTAAATACTGTATTTATTGACCTTTTTTTAAATCATGTCATTAAATACCTAAATATGAATCTGGTAAAATAAAACATATAAAATTGATATTGATATTCACATTTTGAAGGTATAATTGAAGGTTTGTCTTGATGAAATTAATCAAAAATAATTTGGAGACTTGGTTGTATACTAAGAAAAAATTAATTTTATAGACTTTGAAATGACTTAATAATTCATAAATGCGTAATACTCCAAATCATATTTGAATAGTAAAGATAAATATATTATCTCTCTAATTAGAATGATCGCTAGACAAATATAAATTTTTAAAAAAACATTAATCGTTTGAATGGCATTTGTAGCGTATTTTATACCAATTTACAAAATCAGAAACCTTTTGTTGTGCTTTCTTTTATTAGTTTGTGATATGAATATATTTTTGTTAGAATAAGTTAAAAACGAATGAACAAAAGATAAATATTTTGTTGATTTTACAAGACAGATTCAAATTACATAAAAAACATTTTATATTTGTCCAATTTAAAAAAAATAACTATGATTTTTCAGTCTAGATTAAAAAAATTTCATTTATTTAATTTGATGTTACAGTTTTTAGAGAGTAGAAACTTAATTAAAAAAAACACTTAAAAGACCAATCAATATTAAATCCATAAACTTAAAGTCTATATAATTTTTTAATATTTGATTTAGCTAAAATCAGATTTGAAAAGAATTACTAGATTAATAACTGACAAAAATTTTATGTAAATTAGAAATAAGAATAACATTATGTATTTAGTGGATTAAATAGTGTTTGATTTTCAACCAAAGAAACTAATAATAATAATTTAAAATAAAACAAAATTCAATTAAATAAAAACAACTAAAAATGTCTAAAACTATCATATTAGCTTTGCTCTTAGCTTAAATCATCACCTTAGCTTTTGCTGCATCTTCAGTAACATGTGGTACTCATCCTTTGTTAAATAAAGTTTAGAGTTCTGTTAATAGTCTTATTGCTACTGATACAAGTGGAAAAGCTAAAACTAAAAGTGACGCTCTTTTCAAGAGCTTTACAAATGCTAAACCTTCAAGCAAAAGTGCTGCTGACTTAGGTGTCTGCTCTGCCTATGCTGGATAAAACTCTTGCTGTGATAAAAATATTGTTAAACTTATTGACTAAGCTGCTTTATAGAAAGCTAAGCCTATTCAAACTAAGTCAACTGTTTTCTAGAAATTCACTAACATTTATGCTGCTTAAGCAAATAAGTTATGTTCAAAATATATTACTAATGGTCCTGTTACTGCTGATGCCATTTTAAAAAATGCTGCTTTAACTAGTTTCTAAGCTTTAAAAACTAGTCAAGCTACTTGTAAGATTAACTTTGCCAAAGCTCTTACTTCTTTCACAAGAGGTGCATTGTGCACAGTTTGTTCAGGTGTTGATAAAGTAAATGATTACGTAAACGCCTAAGGTTAACTTAAGGTTACATAAGATTCAGTAAATCAATTCGTATCTGCCACTGATACTGCTGCTACTTGTTTTGCCAACATATTCACTGGAGACGCTTTTAAAGCTACTATAAATGAATTAAATGGTAAATACATTTCAGATGCTACATGTGCTAGTAGTGTATTGACCAAAATCTAAACTGTTTTCACTAATAAGATAATCTAGAATAGCGATGGTAATGGTGGCAAGCTTTGTAAAGGAACTACTGTTTTTGGTAATAATGCTGCTTGTGAAAGTTTATTACAAGGTGATGCAAATCTTGAATCAAACAATAGCAGACTCCTTAGATCTGAAGATGATGAAATGTTTAGATTACTTGATGCCTCTGCTGCCCCAGATGCTGTTGTTGATCCTTCAGGTGTCAGTGTTTATACCACAAGTTCCACTGATAGCAGTATTGATGAAAATGGTAGTAATATAAGCACAAGCTTTGACAATGTTAGCACAACCTCAAGTGAAATCATTAAAGCTGCTTTGGCTTTAATTTCTCTTTTGGCATTAGCTTTTTGAATGATAAAATATAATTTTAAAAGGATTTATTTTTATTTTATGTATAAATAATTTATATTATATTTTATAGCATTCCATTTTTACTTTTAGAGTTTTACAATTTCCTTACTTGCTTTTGAATATACAAACAAGCAAACAAAAAAATACCCAATAAACTAAATAAGATAATATAAATTAAAAGATGTGCAAAATAGATAGACAAAACCAAAGGTAGTTAAAATAATAAATATAAATAATTAAATAAATAGTTGAATTAAAGAGCTAAGCTTGATTGGTCTTGAGCTTATTAGTTTAATAGTTGAAATATATATATATATATTAAAGATTTATTGAGCTATTTTTATTAGGATTTTTTAAAATAATCTTATTTAATTTATAAAAATATCCTTATATTTTTATATTTTGAATGATTTACTTTTTCATTTATTTTTTATAATTTTTGTTATGCCATATTATCTCTTTACGATTATTTAAAGACTATCAATAAATAAATAAATTGAGAAAGGAAGTAATAGCATGAAATACATTTTTTTAAAATAAAAAAATTGAGAAATAGAACTCAAATAAATTACAAAAAAGTAAAGAGTAAATTTAAATAAATAAATTAAAAAAATTATTTTTTTGAAAGTATTTATTTACAATTAAAAATATAAAATTTTAAAAGAAAGTTTATCCTTTTATTAATTATAAAATTGCTTTTGCTTTTAAAGTATAAGAGGGGAAAATATCGGTCTCAACTGTATATCTATCTATCTATCTATCTATCTATCTAGATATATGTTTTAAAAATAATGATATTTTATAAATTTTCTAAATCAAAGAAGGAAATTAATTAAAATTCTTACTCAATTTGATAAATTAGAACAATAAAATATTATTTATTAGTAAGTTAAACCTGATGAGGATTTAACTATTTTATGAATTGATTGGTGCTATTAGATATTTGTTGCTAATTTAAATTTGTAAGGTGGTGAATACATCTTAATAAATTGATTATAAATATTGTTAGAATGTAAGCAAGGAATTTCAAGATAGACTTAAATATTAATTAAAAATTTCATGTATTATTTATTATTTTTAAATATTTATTTTACAATTATTTATAAATGCACTTAATTTTTAAAAATATATTTAATTTTAGTTTGGTTCCTTGCTATAAAAATAAAATATTTATTTTTTTTATAAGTGCTGACTTTAAGTATTTATCTTTTAAGAAAACTAAAATTTAGTGGTATTTAAGAAAAATAATAAATAAAATCTTAGAAAGAATAGATAAATTTTATAAATCTAAAATTATTGCAATAGCCATACATTATAAAATTTTGTATAAATTATAATCTAAATTCAAATAACTATGTATTATATCTTGATAGTTAGTTAATTATATGAGACCATAAAAAAATAATAAATTATTTTATTAATTTCAATTAAAATTTAAAGAAAAAAGCTCAAAAAATATTATTAACATTTGTATATATTTGTCTAAAATCAATCTTTTTCAGATTAATCAAAAAATTAGTTGCTGATTAGATAAAATTTTATAGATTTTACCTTAAAAATAGATATCATCAAAGTTTTTAATTTAATTTAAATTCGATCAAATTTATTATTTGGTAATTGTGCTTGTTTACAATATTTTACTTTTGTAATGATCAAATTTTACAAATATTTGCCTTTTTTAATTAATTTAATTAGTGGTTAATCAAATAATAAGAATAGATTGAAAAAAGGTCAGCGAGCAACGCTCTATTACATTAAATTATTAAATATAAATAAATAAGTATGACTGAAATACTTTGTTCAAACAATCTTTTCTTCACAATTTTTTAGTAAATTTTTAAGAGAAATATTTAATTGACTTTATCCCTCAAAAACAAACAAGACAAAATATTTTTATTTTTTCAAATGCATTTGTTTTTTTTGTATTTAAAACAAGTCCTTTAGTAAGTTATTATAAAGCTGTTTCGAATGAAATAAAATTTTTAAGATTCATCAAAGCAATCTGATATATTTTATACCTAATCAAAAAGATACTTTTTTTCTATATGATTTTTGCTTTTTCTTAGAGTTAAATTTGATTTTTCTTTTATATTAAATTTTTCAGTATTTCCATTCTTTTATTTTATCTTTAAAAATGGAGAGAAGAGTCGAAATAAAATTCTCTTAAATAATATTCAACAAGAAACAATTAAGAATCATATTTTTATATAATTGTTTCTTGAAAAATAATTTAATGCTATGGAAATAATTTCCTTGTTTTTACTAAAAGCTATGATTAAGTTTTTAATAAATTTACTTCTATTTTAAGTGAAAATATCATTTGAAAGTGGCTAAAAATCTAAATTTAAAAGCTTAAAACTACTAATACTCTACCCATAAAATAATAATTTTTGTATTAAAATAATTTTTTTAATCTTTTAAGAGAGCAAATAAAAGATGATTGCTTGTTGATTTACTGGTTGAACCTTCAATTTATTTATTATTAAAAATTAGTAAGTAAAAACAAAGTCTTTATATTATTTTTTAGAATCATTATTTCCTCTTAACTTTAAAAGCAAATTAACAAATAGTTAGTATATTAGATACCTAGATAATATTTTCATTTCATTTCAGAAAATATCAGTTGAAAAATTTAAGTCTAATCGAACAAAAAACTATTTGTGTAATTAAATCTTATCAAACCAATAAATTTTCATTCAATTTGTAAAAATAGATGAATAAATAAATAAATTAAAAATTTTTTCATTCTTCTATTTCTTCTCATAAATATAAATTAATTAAATTCCTATTACAATCAAATAAATTGTAACTCAAAATTTAAAAATATAATTTCGGCTTATTATTTTTGTTAAATGCATGTGAAAACATTTTATTGATTGGCTTAAAGATTTTAAAAATAGAGAATATTTTTGTTATAAAACAAGAAATGCGTCTGTTTATTTGTGTTAAATCTTGAATTAATATGTTTTTTTGCTTCTGAAAACATTTAAATTTGAAGACTTTTTTATTATCTCTATTCATATGTTCGTTCAATGAGTTTGTTTGTAATATTTCTGATAAAATCACTCTCTATTCAGATTTTAAATTTTCCCTTTATATTTTATTAATATGTCATTTTCTTTCAAGATTTTAAAATGCATATCTTGAAAAATATCCAAAAATTTTTAGTTCTACACATCTTATCCCTTATTCTTTCTAACGCTATTGCAAATACCTATTATGTTATATCATATTATTGTTATAAGCTATTAAATTGCTCATACTGATAGCCTTTATTGCAGTTTAGACTTTTATCAATTAAAAAACCCGGATCAAGTAAATTTGAAAAAATAAAATTTATAAATTTAAATTCTTTCTTTTTTTGCAATTATTTAATGTTTTTCATTATGAAAAAATTATAATTTTAAACGCAAATAAATACTGTATTAATTGGCCCTTTTTTTAAATCATGTCATTAAATACCTAAATATGAATCTGGTAAAGTTTTACATACGAAAGTAATTGATATTCATATTTTGAAGATATAATTGAAGGTTTGTCATGATGAAATTAATCAAAAATAATTTGGAGACTTGATTGTATACTAAGAAAAAATAAATTTTAGAGACTTTGAAATGACTTAATAATTCATAAATGCGTAATAATTCAAATCATATTTGAATAGTAAAGAGAAATACAATATCTCTCTAATTAGAAAGATCGCCAGACGAATTTAAATATTTAAAAAAACATTAAACATTTGAATGGCATTTGTAGAGTATTTTATACCGATTTACAAAATCGGAAACCTTTTGTTGTGCCTTCTTTTTATTTGTTTGTGATAAGAATATATTTTTATTAGAATAAGTTAAAAACGAATGAACAAAAGATAAAATATTTTGTTGATTTTTACAAGTTAGATTCAAATTAAATAAAAAACATTTTAAATTTGTCCAATATAAAAAAAAAGAACTATGATTTTTCTGTCTAGATTAAAAAAATTTCATTTATTTAATTTGATGTTACAGTTTTTAGAGAGTAGAAACTTAATTAAAAAAAACACTTAAATGATTAATCAATATTAACTCCATAAACTTAAAGTCTATATAATTTTTTAATATTTGATTTAGCTAAAATCAGATTTGAAAAGAATCACTTAATTAATAACTGACAAAAACTCTAAGTAAATTAGCAATAAGAATAACATTATCCATTTAGTGGTTTAAATAGCGTTTGATTTTCAACCAAACAAACTATCTAATAATAATTTAAAATAAAACAAAATTCAATTAAATAAAAACAATTAAAAATGTCCAAAACAATCATATTAGCTTTGCTCTTAGCTTAAATTATCACCTTAGCTTTTGCTGCATCTTCAGTAACATGTGGTACTCATCCTTTATTAAATAAAGTTTAGAGTTCTGTTAATAGTCTTGTTGCTACTGATACAAGTGGAAAAGCTAAAACTAAAAGTGATGCTCTTTTCAAGAGCTTTACAAATGCTAAACCTTCAAGCAAAAGTGCTGCTGACTTAGGTGTCTGCTCTGCCTATGCTGGATAAAACTCTTGCTGTGATAAAAATATTGTTAAACTTATTGACTAAGCTGCTTTATAGAAAGCTAAGCCTATTCAAACTAAGTCAACTGTTTTCTAGAAATTCACTAACATCTATGCTGCTTAAGCAAATAAGTTATGTTCAAAATATATTACTAATGGTCCTGTTACTGCTGATGCCATTTTAAAAAATGCTGCTTTAACTAGTTTCTAAGCTTTAAAAACTAGTCAAGCTACTTGTAAGATTAACTTTGCCAAAGCTCTTACTTCTTTCACAAGAGGTGCATTGTGCACAGTTTGTTCAGGTGTTGATAAAGTAAATGATTACGTAAACGCCTAAGGTTAACTTAAGGTTACATAAGATTCAGTAAATCAATTCGTATCTGCCACTGATACTGCTGCTACTTGTTTTGCCAACATATTCACTGGAGACGCTTTTAAAGCTACTATAAATGAATTAAATGGTAAATACATTTCAGATGCTACATGTGCTAGTAGTGTATTGACCAAAATCTAAACTGTTTTCACTAATAAGATAATCTAGAATAGCGATGGTAATGGTGGCAAGCTTTGTAAAGGAACTACTGTTTTCGGTAATAATGCTGCTTGTGAAAGTTTATTATAAGGTGATGCAAATCTTGAATCAAACAATAGCAGACTCCTTAGATCTGAAGATGATGAAATGTTTAGATTACTTGATGCCTCTGCTGCCCCAGACGCTGTTGTTGATCCTTAAGGTGTCAGTGTTTATACCACAAGTTCTACTGATAGCAGTATTGATGAAAATGGTAGTAATATAAGCACAAGCTTTGACAATGTTAGCACAACCTCAAGTGAAATCATTAAAGCTGCTTTGGCTTTAATTTCTCTTTTGGCATTAGCTTTTTGAATGATAAAATATAATTTTAAAAGGAATTATTATTATTTTATGTATAAATAATTATTTTCTGTTTTATTATATTTCATTTTTACTTTTAGAGTTTTACAATTTCCTTACTTGTTTTTAATATACAACAAACAAACAAATAAATAAATACCCAATAAACAAATTAAGATAAAAAAATTAAAAGATGCGCAAAATAGGTAGACAAAACCAAAAGTAATATAAATAACTAAATAAATAAGTAGACTATAGTTCAGTCTGATTAATTTGAACTTATTAGCTTAACAATTGATATACATCTGAAAGATTTATTGAGCTATTTTTATTAGGAAGTTTTAAAATAATATTGATTAATTTATAATAATATCCTTTTTTTAAGAGTTTTACCTTTTTATTTTTCTTGTATCAATTTTTTTTATGCACTATTATATTTATACAATTATTTTAAGACTATCAATAAATAAATAAATTGAGTAGTAAGTAATAGCACGAAATAGATTTAAATAATAATAAAAATTGAGAAATAGAACTCAAATAAATTATAAAAAAATAAAAAAGTTACAAGTAAATTTAAATAAATAAATAAATTAAAAAATAATTTTTTTGAAAGTATTTTTTTACATTTAGAAATATATAAAAAATAATAAAATTATTTTTGCATTTAAAGTGTAAATGAATTCTAATTATTTATTAACAAAATATCTATTTTTTAATTTGTCATCATCTAATTTTCCAATTATTTATTTTGTAATCAATAAGTTTGCTTGCTTTCTTCAATTTCTTTAGAAATCTATTTTTGATTTAGGAGCTTAGTTTGAGCCATCTTAATATAATATTTATTTATATTTTTATAAATAAATAAATCTTTGAAAACAAAATTTTATATTACCCAATTTCAAAAGAAAAGATCTACAGGTTAGCACATTTATGAACAGTATAGCTCAAATTAGTAATACTTTAATCACTGATATTAGTATCACTTTATAATTAATTAAGTATAAATGAAAAAAATGATATGATTATTTAGTAAATATTATTACATCAAACCAATATTAAGTATTCTTAAATTTTTTAGTATGATAAGAGAATTGCATAGATTCTAAATGCCTAAATCACTAATATTTGTTTAACTTTTAAAAAAATTTTTTTATTAATTTCAATTTTTATAATTTAAAGTAAATTTAATAAAGTAAATATTTAATCATTTATACTTACTTTAAATTTAGCTAAAATTTAAAAAGATCAGCACATTAAACTAATTAATTAGCTAAATTATTGATTGTTTCATCTCCTATATTATTCAAACTATTTTGTTAAAAATTAATTTATAAAAATAAATATTTTCCTAATATAAAATAATTTTCTATTGATTTTTTATGCTAATTAATTAATAATAAGTTAATGTTTTAATAATGTAGAAAGTATATTTTTTAAAAAAATAAACATAGTTTTTTTTATCAATTAATCAAAAGAATAACTCAAAAAAATTCAAAATTGAGTAGAAATTAGTTCTATCTATATTAAGAGCATTTTATGAAATTAAAAATTAAAAATTGATTTTAAATAAAATATTATTTTATATTAAATGAAAGATTGATTGATTATGTTTAAAAGAAATTATTATTTCATAATTACCGTAGTTTCTCGTTAATTAAGGAATTTTTTAAATCAAAATTTTTGTAAAAATTTAGTCCTCAAAAAATAGGAAATTTATTTGTTTTGAATAACTTTACTAAACTAAAATAATTAATTTTATTTAATATTAAATTTTTTAAAATTAAAAAATTATTCAAGATAGAGAGAGTTGTTAATGCTTTTATCAGAAAATAAAGAAATAATTTATATCAAATACAAACCTTAAGTCAAGTGTTAAATCAGTAAGGTTAGAAAATTAAACAAGAGAAGTTGCTATATTTATTGCTCCTTATTAATCTAATTTATTTTAACTTTTAATAATGAAAATGAATTTATTTAGCAAAATATTTTTAAAATTTACCATAATTCAATTGTTATAGCTTTAATGCTTAGGGAGAACAGAGATCCAACTTAGCCAAAAAGAGCAAAATTTGTGATAAGGTTATAACTAAATGTAAAATAATTAAAAACCATAAATTTGTAATAGAATTAATACTTAAATCCAAGTGTAAGCTAGTTGAGATTAATATTTTTTTCTAACTCTTTGCCTAAACATTAAACCCCTAAGTCTCCTATCTGATTATCACTGATATAAAATATTTTTGTTTTTTCGAATCAAAAATTAAAAAATACTTTAAATAAAGTGATATAATTTTGAGATTTTAGCAACTCGCTATTCCCATAGCAAGCTCGTTTAATCCATCATCTTTGATTTTGTTTGATCTTTAAATTTAAATTAGCTAAAAAAATTATTTAGTGTAATTTATGTTTACATCAACTTAAAATGAAAAATAGAAAGATTTTGGCATTTTTTTAAAGCCTTTCCCATCCCAATAGCTCCTTATTTTGTTATACCGTTATAGCTTTTAAATATAATGAAAATGATTACTTTTTGAATTTTATTTAAATAAAGATAGATTTAAAGCTTTACCTAAAATTAATATCTAAAGTGAAAAGTTAGCAACATTCAGAGAAGCATTCAAATAGCTTAGTTGCTCCATTATCTTAAATCTTATTTGTACTATTTAGATGTTGGGTAAGAAATTTAAAATAAGTAAAGATGCAATACATTTACCTCAGATTCAAAGATAGATATTAAAGATTTTTACAACCTAAAAATCCATTACCAATTAGTGATGCTTATTCTGCATTTATTTGGCAGATACTTATTTGAATAAAACATAAAATATTTATTAATTTTTAATATTTAAATTAACCAATAAATAAATACCTTTGTTAATAAGTCAAACTGATCAATTCTTCGTATTTAGCGATTGATTTGCCTAAGTCATCAGCAAAAGAATTAAAACTAATATTTTAGCTTTTTGGATTTAAAAAGAGTGTAATAAATAACACAAAAAGTAATTAAATTTCTTTTAATTTGCTTTTAATAAGTATACTTAAATATTAGTAAAAGATCTTTAATATGCCAAATATCTTTTTAATTAATAAACTTTTTTAGAAAAAAAAATTAATTTTAAATCATCAATTTTAATAAAATTTGCTCACCTGAAATAGATTTTCAAATTTCATAGTTTTACTAATATAATTTTTTTTATTTTAAAAAAAGGAAAAATATGATCAATATTTATTTAGCTTATTTCTTTAAAATAAATAATTCATTTTCAATTAATTTTATATGTAAAAGTAGAAAAAATCATCAATATCTTTTATTAAATTTTATCTAATATATAATATAATTTCTAATATTAGAAACCCCAAATAATATAAGGAGGGTGAATTATTTTAGGAGAAATACTTGTACTCAATATATTAAATTATTTTAATTAATTTATTAAAAAAATAATAGTTTATTTTAGAAATCTAATTTATTCATAAATTTTAAATAGATATTTTTAAAAGTGTTGAGAGATAGATTGATGGAAAATAATCTTTAAAAATTAATGGAATCTCAATTAATTTTTAACACAAAGATTATTTGGAATAATTTTATAACATAGAATAATAACTATTTATGTTTAGAATTTAATTAAATAATATCCAAAACCAGCAATACAATTAAAGCATAGTCACACACATTTGAATTCGCTTCATAAATAAAATAAATCAATATTTTATAAATAAAAGTTAATCAAATATAATTTAATTTAAATGGAAGAATTTATTTTCGTTTAAACTATTATTTATACTTAGTTTTTTAGTTTTTAATAAGTAATTAAAAATGATTTATCTAATATGAATAAAGGTTTTAATGAATTAATTTTAGGTACATTTATAATATTTAAACATATCTTTTTATACTGTAAATACAAGTACAGCTTGCTTATAGTATTATTTTAAAGATAATATAAAGAAAATGTTAATAACACCTGATTTAATAAAATAGTAGAATTTATTATCATTTAACATATTATTTAAGCTTAAAAAATTATTTTTTTTGAGGTAATTAAAATCATTTTTTAAGAAGGAATTAAGATAAAAATAACTTTCAGGAGCATGTATAGCATACAAATATCTTTTTTTATATAAGACTCTTTAAGACCAGACCAGACAGTTTACACTATTAATTTAAAGAGAAAATACTAATTAATTTATTTGAATATTTTTTATTTTCTCTATGAATATCAAAAGAAAAAAAAGGTAATAATAATAATAAAAGATATTTAAAATAGAAATCTATTTTTTAAGTTACATTTATTTAATTTTATATTATTATTTGATTCGAAATTGACTCACAATTTTTTTTGTACTTTTTTTCCTTTTCTTTTCGATTTATTAATATAGATACTTTCAAAAGATTTAATTAATTTATCTCAAACAAAATAAATGGGAAATTCTAATGATAAATATAGTTGTTGCAAGTCTACTTAACAACTTTTAAACAAATAAAAAATAAGTTATATAATTTTAATTAGGAAAAAAGAAAGTTGTTTTTATTTTATCATTCATTTTGAATTTCCCTTAGCTCGCTCGAAATTAATTGATAAATAATTTTGTATTTAATTCGAATAAAGGAAGAAATAATAAAATAGAAAGAAAGAAAGTATCCCAATTATCTTAAGCAAGCAACAAAAGATTCTTATTTATTTGCTATTGATTAAATTCGAACAATTAATAAAAATAAAACTGAAAAAATAATTCTAAATGATACTTGATAATGGTAAATATAACATATAAAACTTAGAGTAAATAAATATATAATATATTAAATCAGACTTAACAAAAATATTAGAATTTATATGAAATATATAACACTCTTAGTGGAGATAACATTATGCATGTTCAAGCTTTCTTTAATATATTTACCATTTTTTTACAATTTAAATTTACTTAACAATTAATAGAAAAATATGAAATTATAAATATGCTTAAGAACTTAACAAATAAAGAAAAAAATATAAAATTATATTTTTATTTTAATTAAAAATGTATGGCAATTAATTTATACACTATTACTGCATTAAAAATTCTTTGATTATAAACAGCTGATACGAATTAATAAAATTAACTTTAAGAAGAATTTAAGTTTATGGAATAAAATGAACTTTTACTAATTATCTTTTTGGTAAAATCTAACTTTTACTTAAGATTCATTCGATTTTCCGTCAAAAATAATCATATGTAACTTTCATATTGTAAAAATAATTAATAATAGCAATGAACAAAATTTATATTATTTGACTTGTTAATTTATATGCAATTTATTTCCTTTTTTTCAGAAAAAAATATATTTAAATAGCTTGAAGATTTTTGAGTTTGTAATTAATAAATAAATAAATTAAAAAAATAATAACAAGAAAGTAGAAGAAAAATGAATAAGATTGTCTTAATATTATTAATATTATCTTAAATATCAATATTTACTTATGCTGGTCCTACAAGCACAACTGAAAATAAAAACTCAACTGCAAATGCAGTATGCAATTCTCATCCTATCTTCTCCAAAGCTAGCTAACTCCTGAATGATATCTTGAATTCTGATTAAAAAGGATAATAAATAAATAATGCTATTTAGAAGGCTTTCTAAAATGCTAAACCAGCTATCAAAACCTCTTCTAGTTTGGGCGTTTGCTCTGGATATGCACAATAAAAGACCTGCTGCGATGCTAATTATGTTAAACTTGTTGACTAAGCTGCCTTATTAAAAGTTAAACCTATTTTATAAGCAAAAAGTGCCTTCTAAAAGCTTATAAATATCTATGTATCATAATTAAGCAGGAACTGTACCTAAAATGTTTTACCTAGTGTCCCTTTGACTGCAAAGGCTATTTTTGAAAATACCACACTTAAAGTTTTATAAGCAAATAGAACCACACAAGCTAATTGCAAAATTAAATTTGCTAAAGCCATTTCTTCTTACACCAGAGGAGCTCTTTGCGCAGCTTGTGTAGGTGTAGACCAGGCTAGCAACTATTTTAATTCATAAAATTAACTCAAAATTTCAAAGCTTTCAGTTGCTGCCTTTTAGTCTTAAACAGACAGTGCTATTACTTGCTTCTAAAGTATGTTTACTCCATAAAACTTAGATTTAATCTTATCTGAATTAAACGCAGCATATATTAAAGGAAATGACACATGTGGTCTTAACGTTACTTAAAGCGTAAAAACAAAGTTTTTAAATCCAAAGTTGACCAACAGTGATGGCTACGGTAGTAAAATGTGCAATGGAACTAATGTTTTTACAAAAAGTGTTGGTTGTGAGAATATTCTTTAAGGAGATCCTTTGTTAGAGCAAAATATCACAAGAATTCTTTAATTAGATGAATAAAATAATAATAATAGAATACTTTAATTAACTTCAGATGCCGTCTTAGATAATTCTGGGCTTGAAGTTTTCATTTCTAGCACAACTGATGATGCTATTACAGAGGACGGAAATAATATCACTCCTAACTTTACTGGAATTAGCGTTACTACTACCTAATCGGGAATTATTTTCCTCTCATTTATTTTGCTTATGCTTAATATTTTATGATTAAACTTCAAAAATAAATTATACAGTATTCGAATTTTTATTTCTTTTATTATATATGTTGTAAATTATAACCTAATCATAATTTTATCTTCTAAATATCAATTTCGATACAGCTATTTCTATTTATCACAAATCCGTAATTTAATTATACTATAGCACTACCATTCTTTCTTTCTTTTAATTTATTTATCAATCAATCAATCAATCATTTATTTACTTATCTTTCTATAAATCAAAATATATTTCAAAACTATTAATAACATTGTTTCTATTATTATTTTTTAAAAGTATTCTAAAATTTGAAAGAAAAATAAAATAATAATGAAAGAAATGTTATGATACAATTCTATGGTGGTAGTGGTGGAGAAGAGTTGACAAGAAAAATTTGATTTGTGAAGAAAGAGGCCAATTTTTAAAATTCGCTAAGAAAAAGTTTTGAATGAGTAAGTTTTTAAGATTAATTTAAAAGATGACTAAATTTTTTAATTCATAAATAGAATTAGCTTGATATCAATGTTTGTTTCCTAATTTTAAGTGAAAGCGTAAACTTGAATAATCTATTTAACTTATAAAATATCTTTAAATTACTATTAAGGTATTAAGCTAGATTCATAAATAAATTATTGATCCCTAGAGAGTTTATTTTATTACTATTTTGCTTTAATTACTTACCGATAAATAAGAGATAGGAAAATAATTATATCTAATTTCTATTTATTTTTTAAAATCAAAAGAATATTTTCCCTTATAAGATTGCTTGTTTTTCACTATTTTGCAAGTTAGTTAGTTAGTTAGTTAGTTAGTTAGTTAGTTAGTTAGTTAGTTAGTTAGTTAGTTAGTTAGTTAAAAGGTTAGCAACATAGATAGCTAACAAATTAATACCTTTCTTATGAGAAAGAAATAAATTTAGCTATTTATAAACACTAGTAATTTCTTATAGCATAATAAGTTAAAAAAATTTGTCGAAAATTATGATCAGTGATCAGTGATTTGATAGTAAAATGTTTAATTGTTAAATTAGTTAAGTATGGACAAATCTTTTGGTTTGTAAATAAGTTATTCTTCTAAGGCTTTTCATTTATTTTGTGTATTTTATGAATAAAATACTAAGCATATTCTTATAGGTAGGTATATCTTTTATTATTAAACATTTCATCTATATTCTTGCTTATTGATTACTTCATTAATTTTTTTAACACTTGAGACATTTTCAAAAGATGAAAAATGAAAATCTTTAATTAATAAATAAATATTCTTTTCTCATAAAGTTACCAAATTCAAGACATTTCCAAAACTAAAAACCATTTATTTATTTATATTTTAGTTTTATTAAAATAATTAGACTAAATAAGTAAATTAATTAGCTTTTATTTGTTTATTAGATCATAGAATATATATAAGTTTAAACTTCTTAATTATTTTATGAAAATTTTATAATAATTTATTAAAATACTTCATAAATTTTGTAAGTGGAGTGGAGTGCTTTAAATAAAAATTCAATTAAGAAAGTTATTTTTTCTAATTAATATCTTAGTTTTGTCTTAAATTTGTAAGGCTTTAAAGAAATTCTTAAATTCTAAACTGGTTTTACCAAAACAAAGAGATAGATTTGGATTATTAATCGAAAAATGTTTTAATATCTTACAAATTCCTTAAATAATCATGTATATCTATCTATCTATCCATTTAATTTCTTTTGCTCGTGAAGTCTTGAGAAGATTATTAGAAAAATCAAATTTTTATTCCTCAACATAAAGTTTTTAATCATCAGAAAAAAAAAAATTTCATTTTAATTAGAAAAAAATTACAAATTCTAATTAAAAAGAGTGCATTAATTATCATTCGAAGTCACATTTTAACAATCTCCAAAATTTATTAGAAATAAATTAATGAATATCTGATATATCTAACTAACTAACTAACTAACTAACTAACTAACTAACTAACTAACTAACTAACTAACTAACTAACTAACTAACTAACTAACTAACTAACTAACTAACTAACTAACTAACTAACTAACTAACTATTCATTATTACTACTTCATTACAATTTCTTTAAAGCTAAAATAAAATGAAAAGAGGAAATGAGAGGACTTGATAGATTTTGTTTAAATCAAAAAATGCGGCTTTTTAAATTAAATAGCTATTTAGCAAATTATAGATATAATTTTTTGCATTTATTAATTTATTTATTTTTTTGAATTAATCTACCTCACAAATAAACAAACAAACAAATTAATTATAATATATTTGAGTTACTATTTATCTTTTCTATTTATCAGATATAAGTTACAACTCGGTCAATACATAATAAGCTTGGATTATTCTTGAGTAATTCCTTGAATAATAATATATTTTTGCTAGAAACTTAAGATTAATAAGAATAACAAATATATTGCCTTTATTTATCAAAGTAAGTATATAATTTAAGAAGAAAGCATACTCTTTCTTAATAATTTCAACTAATAACAGAAATGAATCTCAGATGTTTATTTAAATGATTATATTTATATTAAATTGAACACAAATTAAGGGGATATAAAAATGTCTGATCCAAGATGAGAGTAAATTCCTTCTGATAAGTTTAGTTTTTATGCAAATATTATATCTAATCATTAAAGAACATGTAAAGTAACATGTGTATTTCAACTGCTAAAAGATATTTTTTCTGTGCCTCTATTTAAAATTATTTGTTTGTATTATTATTTTTATCAAAGAGAATCTTTTAAGGTGATTTCTGAAGTATAAATTCATATTAATAATAATTTTGAAGGAGATAATAAATACTGACTTCTAGAAGAATTAATAGTAAAGTAAGAGTTTTTACAAAAAATAAAAATTTTATATTTAAAGTATTATATATATTCCAAACAAAAGTTTATATTAATTATATTTTAATTCATTCATTCATTAAATAAATAATTAAAATATTCAATCCATTTTTATTATTTAATTTTATCACAAAAATTTATTTTTAGAAAATTGAGTCTATTATAAAAATATTTTTTATAAAAATTTTTTCATATTTTTTGAGGCAATCAATCAAGAAGCAGTAAAGTAAGTATTTTTGAAAGACTATGCAAGTATTATTTTATAAAAATTTCATAAAATTAATTTTTTAATTTTACTAATTTTAAAACTTGCTAAAATAAAATTAATCAGAAAATAATTTAGAAAATTTATTATTTATAGACTTGCTTGCTTGATTGATTGATTGCTTTTTGTTTATTAGAGGAAAATTATTAATTTAAAATAAAAGTCAAATTGATTTTTTTATAGTCTAATCAATTTTTTCTATTTTTTTTTTTTTCAAGAAAATTTTGTAATGAAAGAATTTTTTATTCTCAGCTGTTAATTGAATAAATAAATTTAATATTTTTATAAATTTGCTTATACAAATGTATACTAACATTTACTGATGTTAACTGATTAATTTTAAATATGAAATAAATATCTCTCTGTGCTTGAATTTTTTTTTTTGAAGCAAGAGGGATTTATTTATGATTTAGAAGTAATCAATATTGAGCAAAATTAATAAAAAATTCAACTTAATTTTCTAAATTATTTAAATTGAGTACTTAGTTGGGTTTAAAAAGTTGTAAGCAACTAAGCAAGAAAGAAAGTCTGTATTGACATAAAAATCATATAGTGTATGTACATTATTAATATATTTTTCTTAAACTATAAAAATCTTAATAAAAGAACTCTAATGATTTTCATCGATTTTAAATAATCAATAAACATAATCCTTAAGTGACCTTCATCATTTTAAAAAGTGTAATTAAAATAATGTATCTTTAATCTATAAAAATAGTGAGTATTAATTATTGTCTATGAATTAAACTTCAAAGCATTTTAAGTTCTATGATTTATTTAAAGAGTTTCAATCAGATTTTATTATTATTAAAAATTTTTTAATTAATTAATTAATTGATTAATAAATCAAAAAAAAAAGAAGAAGAATAAAGAATAAGAAACACACTTTATCAAAATATATGATGAGAATCTAATATTTTTTAAATTTAGTTATCCTTCTAAGCATTTGTTTTGTAAGCGTAAGTACAACAACTGTGAGTTGCAATGCCCATCCAGCATTCAACAAAGCTAAGTAAATAATTACAAATGCAGTTTAGCAAGACGCTAAGGGTAAAGCTTTGAATGATTAGCTCTAGTAAAAATTTTAAAGTGCTCAACCTTAAGTAAGAAATGCATAAGATTTGGGAGTTTGTAGTAATTATGGAGGATAATCTACATGCTGCGATACTGAAATAGTTAAGTTGATTGACAAAGCTGCTTTGCTAAAAATAAAACCTATACAGAAATAGAAGAGTGCTTTCTAAAAACTTATTAGCGTATATGCTACTTAATTAAATAAGATATGCAATCCTTCCTTTCTAGTGTAAGCTTCTATTACGGCTGATAAAATTTTTAGTAACACAGCTCTACTTACTTTATATTCATACAAATAATTTTAAGCTAATTGCAAGATAAATTTTGCAAAAGCTATTTCATCCTATACAAGAGGAGCTATGTGTTCTATTTGTGCTGGAGTAGATTAAATTAGCGACTACTTTAACGCATAGGGATAGCTTAAAATTCATCCTGATTCAATTAATAGTTTTGAAAAAGCAACTAATGATGCTATCGTTTGTTATAGTAATATTTTTACTCCTGCTAATATTGATGTAGTAGTTAAAGAGCTTAATAGTGCCTATATTAAAAAAAACAATTCATGTGGGGATGATGTTGCTAAAAGTGTAAAAGATATATTTACAAATCATAAAGTAGTCAATGATGATGGAAATGGAGGTAAGTAATGCAAAGGTCTTTTTGTCTACGGAGAATAAACTGCTTGCTAAAATGTTTTACAAGGTAACCCATAGCTTGAATAGTAAACCTAAAGACTTCTAAGATCATCAGAGAGAGAAGATGCTGACTAACAAGTTAGATTGCTTTAAGCAGTTCCCGATGCTATTTAAGATCCAAATGGTATTCGTATTTTCATTTAAAGTACTACAGATAGCTTGATAGATGAAAATGGTGACGCAATTGTTGGAGTTTTTGATGAATAAAAAACAAATCCTAGCAAAAGTAATGCTCATTTACTAACACTAGAAACACTAATAATTTTGGCTACTATATTTGTTCTCTGAAGAAATAAAATAGATAGATGAACGAACAAACTAACAAACTAATTTATAAAATCAACCAAATTAAAAATATATTCAACTTTTATTTGTAAATAAATAAATAATTTAATCAACCAGTAAAACTTTGTTCTATAAGTTTTATTAATATTTATAATAAATTAATTTATTTTATCATTTTTATTAAATAAAATTGTAAAAAATATTATTGGTTTCAAAAAAATAATTTTTGGTTGAATAGAAAGAGTTAGTTTTAAAAAAAACCAAATTATTCAATCTAATTTGTTTTTATTAAATAAGAATAAAAAAATCTAAATGAAAAATATCCAACCAAATAAGTTTATTCTAAAATTCAAAATAAATTCTAATTGACCAAGAAAAGTTTTATACTCTAAAAATTATTAAGCTCATAATTCATTAGGAGTACCAAAACTTAAGAAAGACAATATAAATAAATAAATATAAATGCAGAATATTCTAAAGTTTTTTACTGGTTTTAAGTAAATAGTTATAAAATGAGATAAATTTTTAATAACAATTAATTTTAACTGTTTTTTACCTCAAATTTATATTTCTTTGATTTAAAGATCTTCTTTGGTATTATTTGTTACCTAAATGCAAAAGAAGGAACATTCAATTTGTCTTAAGCTGAAAATATAGAATGGGTATAGAATTTACTTTAACTTGTGATAGAAAGTAACTGCCAAATCTAGAACTATTGAAGTCAAACCAAGACTTTTAAATAAATTTATAAGCTCAAATTGGTAAAAAAAAGTTTTAGTAAATTTTAATAAGGAAAAAAAATTTTTTTTCAGTTTCTAGTGTAAATAAGGTAAAAAATAATAGATAAAAGCAAGACACAGAAGATTTGGCTACCTTAATTGATGAAGGTTGATAAAAACCTTCCTTAATTAAAGCAGGATGGTATTTTAATTAGCTCATACTGTTGCTCATTTGTATATATAAATTTCTGTAAATTACTATTTTAAAAATGCAAGTAAATTAGCTTTAATTCTCAAGTTAGCTTTCATAAAAAAATAATGTAAAAAGTACTTAATTTGTTCTCAGAAAATTAGAAAATAAGGTAATAAGAAATTATTTTATAATCAAAGCAAAAGTTCATTATTAAAAATTAAATTAAAGTATGCGAAAACATAGATTGAATTATAATCAAAAAGCAAATTAATCAAGCAAAACCCAAATAATTAATAAGTTTAAAGTACTTTATTGCTTTAAATTAATTTTTTATAAAAAATTTCACAATTCAAAATAAATAAGCTGTTTTTACAGAAGATGAAGTTTCAAATTTGAGATACGAATACTACTTGCTAAAGTAGAGTTAAGACTTGATGCACTAATAGTCTCAATTTCATTGTAAGTTTTCAATATAGAAGAAAATTTAATTAATTTATTTATTTATCAGAAAAAATGAAGGATAAATATCAAATAAATGATAAGAAATAAACCAATTTTGAAACCAAATTTTGAAAAATAAATGACTCAAATTAATAGAAAAAAATATAAGTATAATTAGAATAAATTTATTGGAATAAACAATAAACAACAAAGACAGACTATTTATGGATAAAAAAATTATTTTTCCAATCATCTAACAAATTTTAAAATGAATATAAATAGAATATTTAAATAACAAAATAAAATTTTAATGATTTTTATTTTGAGTTTTTAAAAAAGTAACTGAGGATTTTCTATACAAAAAAAAATCATTCATACAATTTTTTAAATCAGGTTTTATATAAGTAAATAAGTAATAAATAATATGTTATTCACAAACTAGTTTTAGAAACATAATAAATTATTTCTTAAGAGCTAAAAGTTATTTAATTCTTTAATTAGAGTTTAAAAATATACTTCATGGCATTTAAAAAATCAGATTTTATTAAAAGGGAATTATTAATGAAATAATAATAAATAGATATAAATATTATGAGATAGATAGTATAAATTTGAAGAATATTTAATTTTAAAAAAATCATACTAAATTGATATCGAACTTTTGAAAATGCTAGTAGAGATTGATAGATAGATAGATAGATAGATAGATAGATAGATAGATAGATAGATAGATAGATAGATAGATAGATAGATAGATAAATAAATAATAATTAATAATTATTTAAGTTTTGAAAATAAAAATGTGCGCTTATCTATAATTAATTTTATGAATAGGTTAATGATTGGATTTGTGCTATTTATGGGTATATTAGAAAATAAAAATGTTTTAACAATTAATATTTTTAAATGGTTGCTATTAATAAATGAAATGTAAATTAATGAATTATATTCTATTAACTTGAATTATAAAAATCTCTTTTGGCGTTATAATAACATTTGAATAGAAATTATTAATATTTATATAAGCTTTGATTATCTAGAAATAGAAAATAATAACGAACATAAATAAATGGTAGTATTTATTTATTTATCATTTTTGATGGAATTTATATTTACTATTTCTTTTTTTATCTTTAGCATTTAAAGTTATTTTTGTTCTATTGGTAGCACTACAATGAATGATTAAACAAACGATGCTTAAAATGTAAATTTATTTTTAATCAGTAATTTATTGCAAAAAAATAATTATGCATGTATATTAATTATTATTCCTGTGTGATATCTTACTAAAATATTATGCAATCTTATCAAATTAATTTAAATCCATAAATTTTTTCTAGTTTCAAGATAATTAATTAATAAAAAAATTAGTCGCAAAAAAAGAAAGATAACTTAGAATAATCAAACAAACAAACAAACTAAAGAAATGGATAAATAATATATCAATTACCAATAAGAATTAGATAAGCTCAATAAGTTTTATCAGAACGAGCATGAGCATGCTGACAAAATTTCATATTATCTTCATAAAAAAATAGAAGCCATTAAAATGCAACTTCAAAGAAGAAGCCCTAACCAGGGATCTCCTAACTCTTCATCTAGTGAGCACGAGCATGATTATTAATTTGAAAAATATGATAACTAAAAATAAAAAAGCTATACTAAAAAGCAAACTTATGAATTTTATGATAATACGTTTGTTTAATCTGCTAAAAATTCAATGAGGAATGTCTCATTTAAGGATGATTAAGAATTTAATTGATTCAAATTAAGTAATTATTCAACCATATTAAATAAATCTAATTATAAAACAGAATATAACCAACCATATTAACAACTAATAAAATAAGAGTATTTATTAATTTATTTATATATTTTGCCATTATAATACACAATTCATGTTAAATTATTTTCGCCGCTTTGCTTATTTATTACAAAAAAGCTAGTTTTTCCATCTATTTTTGTTATTAATTGATTGTGTCATTTTATATATAAAGTTAATTTATAATTACTATATATTAGATTAAATGCAAATTATTGATGATATATTCTTATTATTATTATTGTTACATGAACCAAAAAAATATAGTAAGAATTATCTAATAAATAAATAAATTTATTCTAAAGTTTTTAACTTACCCAAATATTACCTGTAAAATAAATGAATAATTTAAGCCTATTTATTAATATTATTAATATCATTTTACTTTCTATTTTACTCTTGAATTGCTGGCTACAATTATTTCAGAATGATATATATATTATTGAGCATTTCAGCTTCTTTAAAGTAAGTAAAATATTGATAATATTTATTATCATACAATTAATCAGAAAGAATTAGAGTCAAGATTATTAGAAATTTATTAATAGAATCAATTATTTCACCCTATATTCTCTAACTTACTCTCTAACGTAAATGATAAAAAGTCATGATTATTGCGAAACATTTTTAAATAATATAATATTTTTTATTTATTTTTACTTTTATTATTTATCTCATTTTTTTACTGAATAAATTTAATTGACAATCTATTCTAGCTTCTACTAACTTTTAAATGCCTAAAAAAAGGAGAGAAACAAATAAAAAATTTAAAGCGTAAGTAGCAAGCATAATTTCAAACAAATATTTATTTCAATGAGTATGGAAAAATTAAAAAGCTTAATCGAAGCAATAATAAATTTAATTGAAGAGTTAGTTATTTACTTCAAAATAAATAAATTAGTAATTTTTTTTTAATCTAAAAATAAAAATTTTTGTTTCTTCACAAATTCAGAGATTTTTATAGATAGATAGATAATAAATAATTCATATATAACATGAAAAATTTCATTTTTAGATTAATTATAAAAATATCGATAGCAAAATTATTTTTATTTTTTGCCAGAAAGAGTTGTTATCGATTATTGGAATATAACTAGATAACTAACATAAATACTATTTTTAAAATTTACTAATTTTAATACTCACTAGCTTAGATCGATGAACAACCAATCAAGCCAGCTTTTATTTTGATGGAATAAGCTTCTTGGATTAAGAAGGATCAACAGGAGGCTCTAATTGCTTTATTGAGCTTTTTCGGCGATTATTCTTTTCTTTATCTTTGACTGAAGCTTTTAGTTTAGCACTTAGGAGTGAAGACACAAAGGAGTAGAATTTAGAGATTTTTTATCTACATAATTTTTAGACTTTACGTAGTTTGTTATTTTTTTCTAGTTGTTCTATCTTTTTATGATAAATATATGAATCGAGATCACTTAAAAGTCTTTGCATATTATCAAAATCTTTCAACACCATTGTATTTACATCAAAACCATAATTATATTATGGAGGTAGCATGTATGTATTAAATACTTTGAATGTTTTGATTTAATACCAAAGAGTCATCATTCTTTGTAGTTGCAAAAAGAATGGCTTACCTCTCAAATCTAGCACATCTTGCTAGAATTTGTGAGCTATTTAATAATTTATTTCTTCCATCTCGTTATAAATTCTATCAATACCAAGCTGAAGAGCTTCATGAGTTAAAATATCTTGATATTACTTTATAGTATCAAACACATTATAAAAGTAGCGATAACAAATATTTTAATCATCATCTAAGATATTGTTTTATGAATCTAATTGAGGAACTTTTACATAACTATTTAATTAAAGGTATTTCAAAAAGAAGCAACTCTCATTTGCTACTGTATAAAACAAATCTACTGTCACACTGCCTTATCCTAGCGAATAAGCTTCTCTATAAATTTCTGCTAATTCTTGTTCAGTGCTTTCAGAGAAATTAAGGAGCAATATTTTCTTGAAGGAAGGGAAATTTATGCAGAATTTTCCTGAAGAACCCATTGAAGATTAGGCAAGGAAAGCTTCCCTCAGTAATTTATACCTATTTTTCTTTTCAATACGATAAAATTCAAGGAGGATACGTAAAATAAATCCTGACTCAACCAAATTCTTCTCTTTTTTTACTTTGACTTTTTCCTTAAGTTGTTTTTTTATCAGCATGACATTTACTGGATCGAATCTAATCATCATAAGGTCAATTAACTATTCTGCTTATTCCATAAAAACATATTGATAAATGTCAAAAGTAGATTCATGTCTCTACATGCAAGGTCCTTTGAACAGCATATTTCTACAATGGAGGTAGAAGTAAATTTCATCGATTGATGCCTTTTCACTGAAAAATTCCTTAAATGTGACTATTTCCCATATTCCTACGAACTTAGGATTCGTTAAATCTAATAAAAATATGACTCTAGAGTCATCGACCTAGATTTTCTCAGACTCTTAAAGCAGACGTATCTACCTGCTATTCTAGTCAACAGTGAATTTACCCAACCAAGAATAGACAAAATCAGGAAATTTACTGATTTATTTAGGAGTGTTTTCAAACATTAAAATTTCATTGTATTTAGAGTCTAATATTGCTCTTAAATTACCAATGAAAGCTGTGCTAATCTTTCTACTCTTCATGTTTTGCATGTCCAGCTCATAATTTTTTGCTACTTGCTCGACAAAAATATAATAATTGGGCTTATAAACCTGCAGTGAAGCAATTGGGACTTCCACTTCCTTTTTACTTTGTAAATCAGCTGCTTCTCCTTTCTCTGCAAATTGAGTTAGAGTTTCTAAAAATTTTTATTTGACAGGGTCTGAATTAAATTCCCTATTTTGAACATTTTGAGCCTGCTAAAGCAAGAGTTTGAAATAGGTTTTGTCTTTGCTAAAGTCACTTTAAATAAGTTTGAGCATATTCAAATCATTAGGGAATGATCCATCATTTGGTACTTCTACTTCCTTACTTCTGGCAATAGTAAACCTATCCAATTTAGCCTTTAAAGCTTGAGATTTCTCTCTCAAAGTATTTAAAAGAACTCTCTACTCATTTGTCTTTAGTATCATCCCTTAGTAATCTTCATGAGTCATCAAAGCTAACTCTCGATATTTATTAAATTTTTAAACTAATTCCTTATTTTATTCTTTTAACTCCTTCGATTCTATCTCCGTTTCCTCCATTTTGGTTCTAAGCTACCTAACTTCAACTTCAATCTACATTAAACATATATAATAAATAAATAAATCAATACAAAACTTTTGAAAAAACAATTAAAGTACCTTCGAAAGAGTTCCCTGCATTTATGTAATTTATAATTTTCTTTTTTACAATTCTCTGTCTTTAAAATCAGCTTCTTTTTATATCTTGAGGACCTTTGCTTCTGTTTCTTGAGTCAACTTTGTAAGCTGCTCTTTTAACAGAAAGATATCAGAGCCTGTTTCAAGAATCCTTAATTTTTCTGCTAACATATGATTTTCAGCTGCTAATTTAGTGTTTTCAAAAGTTAAATAATTTTCACGTTTTTCTTTTTTTGATTTATATTCATCCATATTACCCATATCAATAAACTTTTTTAATATATTATTTTTTTCTTTGAGCATTTCAGTCACTTAATCTTTTTGTGTAGTAATTTGCTACACTCTTTCTTCATAGAAAGCTAGCTTTTCCTTCCAAGTATCTCCCTGCTGAATTGATTGCAAGTAAATGTTGTAAATAGACTTGATAATATTAGTTAGATATTAATTTAATTCTGTATATTTCTCTGCGATGCTCCACAAATCAGAATAAAGATGCAACTTTTCCTCGATATCATTATCCAATAAATTTGAAATGGAATTCCAATGTTCTAGCTTTTTTTTAACTTCTACTGGAAATTTATCAGTTGAATTCATCAAATCAATACGTTTACGAGTGTTTTAGTAAGATCTATTTAAAAACTTTTAAAGTATTTATTCTTTGCTTATCATCCCTGCTTGAGAGCTCTAGTAAAAGAAATCTCCATGTTCAAAAATCTGCTGCTCGAAGTTTCCATTAAACAAATTATTTGGCGTACTACTGCTAACAGCTAATGTACTTTTCTATCCGTTAAAAAGTGATTCTAATTTCTATTGCTGATTAATTTATTTCTTACTTGCCTCTCTTTGAGATGCTAGTAAGCTTGTAGAATATTATCCATTCAATTATCCCTGCATACCACCATAATTCATTCTTGCTAAAAGGGTCTTAGTATCTGGACCCTTATTTTGTTAACCCTCGCTTTCCTACTTTTGATGAGAGTTCAATAAAGGAGTTTTCTAACCACTATCGATTGGTAACTCATCAGTCGTCTTTGCTAGATTTTTTCTTTTATTTTTTTTTGGAATAAAAAACCCTAAATTTTCATTAAACCGCTCAGGAGAGCCTGTCGCTTCCTTTTTAATAAGAGAGAAAGCAGGGAGGCTTGTTTTGTTATTTAAAATTCCATAAGGAAGAAGCTTTTTGTCTTTATCTTTCCTTGGAATATTTTTCATTTTAATAAATGAGCTAACCTAACAAAAATCTTAATAAAAACTATTAAAGTTACTTTTTTATTTAAATCAATAATATGCATAATAATATTTGAATATAATTTTCTAAGCACTAAAAGCTGAATTACTGATTAAAACAAAATAAATTAACAAGCAAGCAAGCAGACTAACAATTAATAAATGCTAACTCTTGAATAACGCCTTCAATCAAATAATATTGATTTTAAAAAAATCTATTTTTATTGAATTTAAAATTAATAAAAAATATTTATTTTAATATAATTAAATGATTCCGTTAAATTTTTTAAATGTATTTTTTGTCAAGTTATATTTCTAAGATAATTTCATTTATTTATTCTTATTGAATATTTTAATTTCGATTTGTCTGAAGAACACCTATTTTGGATTAAGAATTCAAATTACAAAAATAATTTTTACAAATTAAGTTGGATATTAAGTTTATTTTTATTATAAAAAAAAATAATAAAGAAATTTATTTATTTTTTATAATGTATTATCAAAAAAAAAATTAATTTAAAATCTTTACGAAATTGATGAGAAATATATTTTAAAAAGGTGATAAAGGCATTGCTGAAAGAATTATCACTGCTTAATTTATTTTTTTAAGAAATATTTTAAAAAGATCTTTTGATTACTTTTGTAAAAATGAATAGGGCTTTTAATCAATATTTTTTTTAAGCTTTAAAACAAAATGTATAATTGAATAAGTAATAATTACATAAAATACATCACACTTTAAAACTGTTTTTGTTTTAGGATATTTATTATTTTGCAAAATAATAGATTATCAAAAATATTTTGACTTATAAATAAAAATTTTGTAATTAATTTTATCACCATCTTTATTTATTTTTACAAGAAGCTTTAAATTTTATTTTATTAAGGATGATATTATTTTATATATATATACAGTGAAAGATTTGAAGAAATAAATATGCACTTTTATATAACATGAATATACTACTAATTAATTAACTAATGGAATAAGAGAACTTTGTTACATAATAAATTAATATTTTTGCACAATTAACTTGATTATTTTTATTATAAAAGCAATTTCTTGATACTTCTTACATATATTTTTGCAAGTAAATATCCAAAATTTTTATCAAGTAATTTGTATTTGTATTTTTAAATCAAATTTCAGTTTTTTATCTCTGAAGCTTTTTATTTTTGTAATTTCTGAAAATATTTTATGGAAAAAAATAAAGCAATTATTTATTAATAAACTATTAGTTTTATCTATCTAAGCTTTATGTTCTCACAATTAATTTACTTTTCATCTTTTGATTATATTTTATTATAGGAAGAATAATTGAATTTTAAACTAATGATTATTTTTTTTTGATTAATCATAAAATGTACTATTCGATTTGATACTCTGATTTAGGTGGTTATATTATTTTACACTCTATATTTTATTTTTAAATTTGTTCTAATGGTTCAAACATACTTTGCTCGCATTCAGTATTCATTTTGCTCTCACCTAAACAACATTCTTATTATATAACTTCATGACCTTCATTATCGACTATAATTGATGTCATAGGAATGTAAGATTAAGACTCTTCAAATAATCTATTTTGATACTACTCTATTTGCAACTTTTACTTTTTAATTCTGCTACTGCCACTTCTTTTTGTTTTAATTGTTTTTATGTTACTATTATGCTACAATTAAACACAAAATTAATTTCCCATAATGCAGTATAGATGATACTTTTTGTTTAAGAGTACTTTCAATTATTTATTTGATTTGACTCTATCAATCACTCTATCTTAATCTTTAAATATTTTTTAAGTTAATAAAATAGTATGTATTTTTTTTCTTAATTCCTAAAAATAATTAACTCAAGCAGAGGGCCTTTTAAAAATCTATCTATCAAATTAATCTTTGGTAGAGCTCTAAAAGCCAATCAAGTTTCTTACATTAATTTAAATTATTAGTTAAAATACTGCATTTATTATTTTTATTACTCAAACAAAAATATAAATATTTATTTATGTGCCAATCAAATTGAATTTTTATCACTAATCTATAAAATGCTTACTTCAAATCTAATTAATTTAACAATAGTAACTTGATATTCACATTATTATCTAAAACTAAATTCCAAATGATTTTTTTCTGAATTTTTGATTTTTCATCACATAATCACAATTAAAAGAAATCATTTTTGTTTTGTAATTAAAATATAGGAAAAAGATCGAATTAATTTTCATTTTTCTAAAACCTTTTTGTAAATTAATTAATTAAAAATAACATATTAATTTTAGTTTTAAAAACTATTTTACGAACAAATATTTAAAATAGAATAAAGGTTAAAATATTTTTATTAAGATTAAAATTTTTGATTGAAAATTTAATTTATAATCAATCATGAATTACTTTTCAATGAAATTATTACTAAAACAGCAAAAAATACTTTTCATTTTTAATTTATTAATGTTATTTAATTTGTCATAAATAAGTGATAGGAATCAAAAATGTTCTTTTTGTTTTTTTTGGCAAAAAAATAAATTTAAAAAAATTAAATAATTTAAAGTGATATGATAGACTGACTGACTGAATAGCAATTAAAAATATTTTAATGTATAAAAGTTATTTTATTAGATCTTGAATGTAAATTTTTTATCCTTGATTAAATTTATTTGAGTTTAATTCTTGAATGATTAAAAATAAATAATGTCAGAAATTTAAAATAAAATCTGAAATTAGTCCTAGAAAATAATATTGTTTACCTGATAAAATGCTTGAATTTCAAATTAAATATTCATAATAATTGATTTTTAAAATTAAAATTTCAAAGCTTTCAAATTAAACTTGGAGTTTTATAAATTACTTTTTTAGGCAAACTCCATTTTTAAGTAATAAAATATGAAAGTTAAGAGATTATGTAAATATCTATCATACAAAAATTAGAATTAAAATATTTAAACTAATTTGTGTTAGCAATTACAGTTTAAAGGTTTCCAAATTAAGCTTGGAGTTTTATAAATTTATTTTTTAGGCATACTTCATAAGTGTTAAATAATAACTAAATTTTATAATAAGTTTTTTATGTATGAATAAATGAATCAATGATTAAAAATTAATGCAAAGAATCTGTCATAAAACTATTTAAACGATTTAAAATTACAAAATTAAATACTTAATCAAATAATTAATATGTAATAAAAATTGTACTGATTAAATAAAAAGGGATAACTATACAATCTAATCTAATAATAGCATTACAATCAAAAACTCCAGTTTTTTATCATATAAAATTTGAATTTAGTTAACTTAATTTAGCTCAACTATTTATTTATTTTTTTATTTCTTGCTTTTTCATTTAAAAAAAGAAACCAAAAATTGACTAAATAAGTAGATAGTTTGGTAATTCTTTATTTATAACACTCTCTATCAACTTTTTTTGTAAATATTGCTGATAAAAGATTAATTAATTAATTAAATTTCTTTTGGAAAAACAACTTATATAAGAATCAAATTACATTTTAATATTTTATAAATAAGAATTTATCATAGCATTAGGGAGATGATATACTTCTATATTGGCTTCGCCTCATTTGCAGTGTTTGTTATGAATGTTATTCAGTTTAGATGGTTTTTAATATCTTAAAACAATGACTTTCATAAACTAATAAACCTTTGGTATGATGACCCAATAGAAAAGGTATAGTTAGTAGAATTAAGTTAAGCATGTCCTGATGGCACTTAGCAAGAAAAAATTATGTACAAGTTTAGAGGTACAAGCGGATTATGTTCTTGTGATAGGCAAACAGAATAAGTATAGCATAATACATCAGCAAATATCACATACTCTGAATGCTCTAATCTTAAATGCAGTAATTCTACCAAGATTCAGAAGTTTAATGCTATTCCATCTTCATCTCTGTTCTACTTATTTGAGTCTGATAAAAATGTCACTTACAAGCTATGCACGAGTAGAATTTAAGGCTATTCATTTGCTGAAAAGGCTCCTATAGATTAGAAATGCGGATCAAATGAGCAATACTGCAGTTGGAATAGAACAATAAACGGAGAATTCGATGTAAATTATGGATATTGTATTCCTTAAGATAGAGAGTGTTTTTCATAAGCTGTTTAATTATCAAATGTCAATACTAATTAATCATAACTACCTTTGGTAGCATTTTCTTTAGATGATTAACCTTCTAAATTGAACAATATAGAAGACTATCAGCAAGTATTTACTAAATAGTTGTTAGAAATGAATAAAGTTAATTTTCCTAACGAATATAATAGCTTTCTTCAGTAGAGTCATTTTTTACACACAATTTTCATGCCTAGAGTGTAAAATAGCTGCAGATAAAAGCTCAAAAATGAGTTAAGCGTCTACATAGGCCCAGAAGTAGCTCTTCAAATTTAAACAGCTCTAATTTTTTTTTCATTTATTTCAATGATCTCTTAGTTTTTTATTACTGGCTTTAAGGATTTTGAAGATTTCAAAGATTGCAATTGGTAAACTAAATTGCTAAGTTACTTGCAAAAAAAAAAATATAATCGCAAACACCCTCTATATAGAAAACTTTATTACATTCAAAAAATAATAGTGCTTATTATTCAAATTGCACTTTATGCTACTATTTTAAGCTTATACGTATCAATGATTAATGTAATTAGCAACATGATAAATTCTCAATGTATAGATAGTCAGATTGGCTAAATGATAAACTTTAAAAATTTAAATGGCGATATTTTTAATTATAATATCACAACAGCATGCTTAGCTCTGACTTTTTTCTGTCTGATTACTGACATTAATTTTTATGTATTTTTGAAAAAAATACTAAGAGCAATTGTTAGAGTAATAAGAACTTTCTTTCTAGTAATATATATTTTATTTACTTCTAGAGATTTTAGTTAACTTTAGAAACAAGAGTACCCTCCTGATCCAGATGTAGTAGATTAGTACTAAGTTAAAACCAATACCAAAAAAGATCTAGAAAACCATAAAAATGAAAAAAATCAGCAACCTAACTGCTCAAATAAGAACCCAAGTTTCTAAGATATGTCAGTGATGAATAATTTGAAAGTAAATGAATCGAAATAAAATAATAAAATAACAGATGAACATGAAAATGTTAAATCTGCGCAAAAACTTACTTCAAGAAGTGACAATACGTTTGCAGTACAATTTAATAATCTAAGTAATTAAAGTAATATAAACGTAATTGAAAATAAATTAGCTGTTTAATAAGCTGATGAAAAAGAAGATTTGAATACAAATATCAGATTTTTAGAGTCCTCAAAAATACCAGAATTCACACCATAAAATGTGAATGATCACAAAAAAAAGCTAGCAAAAATATTTTAAAAAAGAAGAAATTAACTAAAATAAAAAAGTAGTAAAATATTTGACAACTTTTCTAAAGAAAATGATTAAACATCAGAAATAACAAAATAAATTATTAATGATGACTTTTCAATATAAAAAAAGGACAGTGAAGATATATCTAACAATAATGAATTTCGGTCACCCATAACATCAATCGTCTCTAAATAATGTAGTAACTCTGACTCTGTTTAATTAGATTTTTAAATAGAAATACAAGATTTATGAAATATTTTGAAAATAAATAAATAAAAACATTTATTAAAAATTTAATATATTGATAAATATAAATATATGTTTATATATCTAGAAATTGACTAATCTATCTTTAATTATGTAATTAAATGAAATAAAAATAGTATATTTTAAAATAGTTCATTTACAATTAATTATTCAATAACTTCAGAATTATTAATTGTTTTTAAAAATGTTTAAATAAGTTTTTCTTGCAAATTAAAACTTTTAAGAAAATAATTAAATACCAAAAAAATTATTTTGAAAAATTGAATTTTAAATTTTAAATTCGTTTAATAAAAATATAAATTTATTATTGATAAGCCTGAAAAGAAAATCTAAGTTAGAATTTTAAATATTATTTATTCTCAAATTCCTTAAAAATTCAATACTATAGAAAAAGAGATGGTTTTTTGAAAGATAAAATAAATAAATTATTATTAAAAACAATGAAAGGTTTATCTAATTAAATGAACTTAAAAAGTATTTTAATCAAATATTTGATGGATTTTTATGGCTGAATCTAACAAAATAATAAATAAATAAACGCATTTGACTTTAATTAATAAAGGATTATTTAAACATTTTTAAAAATTAATAGAATAGACAAGATAGATAAAACCTAAGTTAAAATCTCTTTAGTATTTTTACATCGTAAAAAGAACTTTTGAAATAACTTTGTATTTTTTTCAATTCTATAAAAGCAAACCATTAATTTCTTATTCACAATAAATTGAAAAAAAAAAAAGTAAATTATAATTTTAAATAATATTCTAAATAATATAAAATTAAGAGCAAAGAATTCAAGAAAGATGCTATATTTCTTTATAGGATTGTTAGCTTTCGGAGTATTAATTACCCACATTATGTCTTTTAAATGGTTTTAAACTAACTATGAAAATAATTACCATAAAGTAATAGATCTTTGGTTGAAAGACCCATTTGAGTAACTTTATTTAAAAGATATCAACTAAGAATGCCTTTTAGATATATTTAACTTGCAATTTCAGTATCCAGGAAACTCTGGATTATGTACTTGTGTTCTAGATGAAACCTAATATGGATAAAATACTAATAAGGTAAATAATAGTAATAATAATCATCATCAGAGAATATTATAAGTTTATATCGATGATTGCACTAAGATTAGTTGTAATTCAATCTAAGTTTCCAAACAAGTTATTAAACCAATAAATAGTGTAAATTTAAATTATTTCTTTATTAATCAAGCTAATAATGCTGCTGAAAAGCTTTGCGGGCTAAGAATTCCTAGATACTCATTTGCCTTAAAAGCTCCTTTATAAAATTAATGTGAGAGCTATGAAAAATATTGTGATTTTAATACTACAAACAAAGATACATTTGATCTTGATTAAGGGTACTGCATTCCTAAAGATAAAGAATGTTAAATTTAAGGAGTCAATCTGGGAGGTTATACTCAATCAGTTGTTGATTAGCTCCCTATAGTTGATATCAGTATATCTACCAAATAAAAAATTGAAGCTTACAATGTAAATGTTTATAGCACAATATACGCAAAAACCTTACTGAACATGAATAATATAACATATGATTCTCACTATCAAAATTTTCTTACTGAATAATTTTAAATTAATATTAGTCATATGCCAAGAGTTAAGCTTAGATGTAGATAAGAACTATAGTAGAATCTTAAATATTATATAGGTCCAGAAAGTACTTTCAAAATCAGTTTAGTTCTTCTTATTTTTTCAGTCCTTTCTTGGATAATTAACTTTTTTTATGCTGGGATAGGAGATTTATTTGATATGAATTTGTGCTTATCTAATTGTAAAGAATACTTTGAAGAAAAGAGAGTATAAAAAAAATATTCAACCTTCAAGAATTTTTTGATTATTTTGAAACCTATTTTGCTCATAATAATAATGATATTAAATGGTGTCATGATTATTTGTTATGTAAATATGGTCTTATATATGGAGTATATGATCAATGATAAATGTCTAGACTAGTAAATAAATTAGGCTGTCAATTATAATACTACAGCATAATCAGGATTTTATCAAGAAGGCTTAACTTATGTAGGCTTAATGCTTGCAGGAATATAGTTATTGTTTGACCAGATGTTTTATCTATCAATAAAAAATGTGCTCTTGTATATCTTTTCTAAGATGAAATGCAAAAAAAGTTTAAAAAAGTCAACAAAAGTTTAAATAGAAACAGTAACTATTACTAACCTGAATCAAGAAAATCAGAAACAAAATAATCAAAATAATGTAGCACCGCCAAAATTAAATGATTAGGCAGAAGTATTAAAGATAACACCTATCGCTCCGTAAGAACCATTTAATATGGATATCTTTGCAGATAAATGTAAGAAAGAAGAAACAAAGAACTTTGAGAAATAAAAGACAGAATCGAGCAAATTAAAATATACTAATTGTTCCATTTCAAAATATCAAGATGATGGATAGAATATTTTTTTAACACCTGTTTTTATTTTAGGGAAAAGCACATATAAAATGTAAAATGATATTGAAAATAACTTATAATAAAATCAGTTAATTAGTTTAGACAATTAATAAGGGATTCTTCCTTCAAGCTAACCAAAATACAAAGACCAATATAATGATATTGAAGATAAAAAGAATATTGATGATATAAAACAATATAAAAATAGAAGGCAATCAGAAATTTTATAACCTCCTGAAGCTCCTTTACCTCCTGAGCAGAGTGAAAAATCTCAATTTTCTACTCTAAACTTGGATAAAATTTGAGTTTTTATAAGTCAATTTTATTGAAAATATTTTATTCCAACAAATATTTATTTTTTTATTCAGTATTTTTTGAAAAATAAATCAACTTTATCAATAATGTTTATTAAATCTTAAATTAATTTTACTTTTTATTTATAGAATCTTCTTTAATTTCAAATTTCTTTTAGCTCGTACAAAAAGTATTTAATAATAATGAATTATATACATATCATATTTCTTCCTACCCCCTTAAAACAAACTCTATAAATTCCTATTCCTGTATCCAAATAAATTAATAAAGATAAATATTTTTTTAGTAGATTTAGGAGAAATATATTTAAATTTCCATAAATTAAAAAACATCAATTTTAAGTGTTTTCTTTGATGGTTGTTAAACTTAAAAAGAATTTTAATTTAAAAGAGTACTATGTATGTATAAAAGTTAATTAAAGGATCATTTATTTAGATAGACATAAAATCTTTATTTTTCATATAGCATTTTAAGAATATCTATAGAATTTTATGGCTAAGTTAAAATAATATAATTAAAGAAGTAAATTAACTTATTTGACTTTAATCAATAAAAAATTGATTAATTATTTAAAATCAAAAGAATAGAAAAATCTATAATTAAATTATCATTTAGCTATCATTTTTACAATTTAAAATATGTTTTTAAAATAACTTTGTATTCATTATATTCTTACTCTTTCAAATTATACTAAAGAAAATAATTAATTATATAAATAATTGAAATAAATAAAAAAATAGTAAATTGCTGCTTTAAAAAAAAATTAGTATTTTTTATCATAAATAAATAGGTAAAAAGATTTATTATTCATAGATATATAGATTCAAGAAAAATGCTATTTTTCTTTTTAGGATTGCTTTCTTTAGGAGCATTAATTACTCAAATTATCTCTTTTTAATGGTTTTAAACTAACTAAGATAACAACTACCATAAGATAATAAATCTTTGGTTGAAAAACCCATTAGAGTAACTTTATTTAAATGATATTAACTAGGATTGTCCATTAGGTACTAGTACATTTAATTTGTAATTTTAGTATCCAGGAAATTCTGGATTATGCGTTTGTGTCAAGGATGATACATATTATGGATAAGATAGTAAAATTGCCTAGAATGATCATAATCATAGAGCATTATAAGGTGGTTTTTTTGAATGCTCATTGATTACTTGTAATTAAAACTAAATTTCCAGCCAAGTTATCAAACCAATAAATAGTGTCAATTTAAATTATTTCATTTTTAACCTAACTAAGAATGCTACTCAAAAGATTTGCGTGAGTAAAATTCCAGGATACTCATTTGCATTAAAAGCTCCTTTATAAAATTAATGTGAGAGCTATGAAAAGTATTGTGATTTTCATACTACAAATAAAGATACATTTGATTTAGATTAAGGGTATTGCATTCCGAAAGATAAAGAATGTTAAATTTAGGGAGTCAATCTTGGAAGTTATACTCAAACAGTTGTTGATTAGCTCCCTATAGTTGATATCAGCATATCTACCAAATAAAAAATAGATGCATATAATGTAAATGTTTATGACACAATAAACGCAAAAACCTTACTGAAGATGAATAATATAACATATGATTCTCGCTATCAATATTTTCTTAATGAAGAATATTAAATTAATATTATCCATATGCCAAGAGTTAAGCTTAGATGTAGATAAGAACTATAGTAGAATCTTAGAAATTACATGGGAGTAGAGAGTGCCTATTAAATCAGCTTAGCTCTTCTTATTCTTTCAGCTCTTTCATGTGCAATCAACTTTTTGTATACTGGATTGGGAGATTTACATGAAATGACTATGTGCCAATCTAGTTGTTAAAAATATTGTGAATTAAAAAGAGTATAAATAAAAAATTCTCCTTTTAAGAATTCTATGATTATTTTTAAACCTGTTTTGCTTATAATTATAATTATTTTAAATTGTGTTATGATTCCTTGTTATGTAAATATGGTAGACTATATGATTTATATGATTAATGATTTATGTCTTGATTAGTATGTAAATTAGGCTATCAACTAATACAATACAACAGAATCAGGTTTATATCAAGAAGGTTTAACTTATACAGCTTTAATGTTTGCAGGAATATAATTACTGTTTGACTAAATGTTTTATCTATCAATAAAGAATATGATCTTGTATATCTTTTCAAAGATAAAATGTAAAAAAAGCTTAAAAAAACAAACAAAAGTTTAAATAGAAATAATAACTAATTCTAACCTGAAGTAAGAAAATCAAGAACATGATGTTCAAAATAATGCAACACCAATATAAAATAATGACTAAGCAGGAGTATCAACTATAACACCTGTTACTCCTTAAGCGCCATTGAATTTAGATATCTTTGTTGATAAAGGCAAGAATGAAGAAAAAATAAATTTTGATATTTAAAAGACAGAAATAAAAAATATTAATAGCCCCATTTAAATATATCAAAATGAAGGATAGAATAAGTCTTTAATACCAGTTTTTATCCTAAATAAAGGCTTATAAAAAGAATAAAATGATATTGAACTTAACTTATAATAAAATGAATTAAGTCATTTAAACAAATAATAGTACATTCAATCTTCAAATTAACCAATTTATTAAAGTCAAAATAATTAAATTGAAGATAAAAATACTGTTGATAATATATAAAATTATGGCAAAAGAAGAAACTCAGAAGTAATATAACCACCTGAAGCTCCTCTACCTCCTGAGCAGAGTGAAAAATCTCAATTTTCTATTATAAATTTGGAGAATATTTGAGTTTTATTTCATAAATTTTATTGATAATACAATAAATTATTTGTAATCTTTTTGTAAAATAAACCATTTAATGTTAACATAATTTTTTGTGTATATTTTTTGAATGTAAAGTATTTTAAGTGCTTTTGTTTAAAACAAAGTTCTTATTTTTAAATTTTTGAGATCAATTATTGACCAAATTGCAATAGTTTGTTTTAAAAGTTTATGTAATTAATTTCAAAAATAATTAAAAAAATAAACATATCCAATCTTAAAAAATAATGATTTATAATTTTCGTATGAATCGATGATATTTAGTTGATTCTGCATAGTAATCTTTGTGTATTTACTTGAATCTTTGCTGAATTTTTGTATTTTATTGTTAATAATATTTTAGTGGGGTTTCATGTTTTCTGCTCTAGTTTTTTTTGGCATTTGTTGAATTAATTAATGAATTGCTATGATAGTTTCATTTATCTTTTGACTAAGATTTATTTTTAACTGTTTTTGATTTGCTCTTTCATTTTTAACTTTCCCCTTTAATTTATTTCTTTTATCTCCTACTTCTATTTGGCTTCCTATCATTTTGCATTTTTAAAAAATATTTAAAAAAAAAAATGAAAAAAAAACAAAAATGATCATATCAGCATAATTAATTACATTTGAAAATTGATTTTTAAAAAAATAATATAAATTTTATATTAAATAAAAAAAAAGTAATTTAAGAATAAAAATAAATTTTAAGATTTATCTCTTAATATTTTTTATTTTTAAATTACTTAGAAATGTAATTTTATTTATAAGCAAATGATTTTTTGGTAGACTAAATAAAATTGATATAGTGAAAGTTCTTTCTTTTATTTAAATAACCATAAAATTTTTATATTTCAAATATTTTTAGATGAATTTTATTGGAATTTGTTGGCTGAATTAACATGATCTAATCAAGGAAGTAAATTAACGCATTTGAATTTGATCTATAAAAAATTGATTAACTAACTAACTAACTAACTAACTATTTTTAAAAATCAAAAGAATAGATAAATCAAAAGTTAAATAATAATTTAGTTATCATTTTTCAGGGTAAAATATGATGATTTTAAAATAACTTTATATTTATTATACTCTTACTGATTCAAATTATATTCATGCAAACAATTAATTAATTACATAAAAATAGTTGAAATAAATAAAAGGATAACAAATTACTGCTTTAAAAATTATTAGTATTTTTTTTTATCATAAATTAATAGGTAAAAAGATTGATTATAGATAGATAGATTCAAGAAAGATGCTATTTTTCTTTATAGGAATGTTTTCTTTAGGAGTATTAATTACTCAAATTATCTCATTTTAGTGGTTTTAAACTAACTAAGATAACAACTACCATAAGATAATAGATCTTTGGTTGAAAGATCCAATAGAGTAACTTTATTTAAAAGATGTAAACTAAGATTGCCCATAAGGTACAAGTACATTTGATTTGCAATTTTAGTATCCAGGAAACTCTGGATTATGTATTTGTGTTAAGGATGACACTTATTATGGATAAAATAGTAACAACGCATATAATAATCGAAATTATAGAATATTATAAGGTAATTATTTTGAATGTTCAAAGAATACTTGTGGTTAAAACTAAGTTTCCCAGCAAATTATCTAGCCAATAAATAATGTTAATTTAAATTATTTCTTCTTTAACCTAACTAAGAATTCCACTCAAAAGATTTGCATGAGTAAAGTTCCAAGATACTCATTCGCATTAAAAGCTCCTTTATAAAATTAATGTGAGAGCTATGAAAAATATTGTGATTTTCATACTACAAACAAAGACACATTTGATCTAGATTAAGGCTATTGCATTCCGAAAGATAAAGAATGTTAAATTTAGGGAGTCAATCTAGGATATTATACTCAATCAGTTATTGATTAGCTCCCTATAGTTGATATCAGTATATCTACCAAATAAAAAATAGATGCATATAATGTACATATTTATGATACAATAAACGAAAAAATCTTGCTAAATATGAATAATATAACATATGATTCTCACTATAATAATTTCCTTAATCAAGAATTTTAAATTAATATCAGCCATATGCCAAGAGTTAAGCTTAGATGCAGATAAGAATTATAGTAGAATCTTAGTACTTATTTTGGCCCTGAGAGTGCCTATCAAATCAGTTTAGCTCTCCTTATCTTTTCAATTCTTTCATGTGCAATTAACTTTTTGTATATTGGATTTGGAGATTTATTTGAAATGAATGTGTGCCTAACTGGCTGTAAAAAATATTGTGAATTAAAAAGAGTATAAAAAAAAAATTCTACTTTTAAAAATTCTATGATTATTTTGAAACCTATTTTGCTCATAATGATAATTATATTAAATGGTGTTATGATTCTTTGTTATACAAATATGCTAGATTATATGCTGTATATGGTTAATGATAAATGCCTTGATTAGTATATAAATTAGACTTTCAGCTATTAAAATACAGCATAACCATAAATCTATCAAGAAGGCTTAACTTATACAGGTTTAATGCTTGCAGGAATATAATTATTATTTGACTAAATGTTATATCTATCAATAAAGAATGTTATCTTGTATATTTATTCAATAATAAAATGTCAAAAAAGTCAAAAAAAACGATCAAATGCTTAAATAGAAACAGTAACTAATTCTAACTTGAAGTAAGAAAATAAAAAACAAGATGTTCAAAATAATGCAACACCAAATTTAAATGACTAAGCAAGATTATCAACTTTAACTCCTGTTATTCCGAAAGCGCCATTGAATTTAGATATCTTTGTTAATAAAAGTAAGTATGAAGAAAAAACGAATTTTGATAAATAAAAGACAGAATTAAATTAATAAAAATATATTAATAGCCCCATTTAAATATATCAAGATGAGGGATAGAACAATTATTTAACACCAGTTTATATCCTAGGAAAAAGTATATCAAAAAGATAAAATGACATTGAACTTAACTTATAATAAAATCAATTAATTAATTTAAATAATCAATAATACATTCCTTCTTCAAATTATCCAATATATTAAAATCAACATAATTTAATTGAAGATAAAAAGAATACTAATAATATCTAGTAATTTAAGAAAAGAAGAAATTCAGGTGTAATACAACCACCTGAAGCTCCTCTACCTCCTGAGTAGAGTGAAAAATCTCAATTTTCCATTGTAAACTTGGATAATATTTGAATTTTTATTCACCAATTTTATTGAAAATGTTATCATATAAAAATAATATACTATTTTTTTTGTAAAATTTACTTTATATGTTTAATAAAATTTAAAATTTATTTTATTTTCTAACTATTTTACACATAAAATATTTTGAAATAAAAATTTTTAGAATTTTAATTTTCTCTGGTATATTATACTCTGTTTTCAATCAAATTACGAGCAAATAGAATTGCTTATATTTCTTTTTGGAGTGGCTATAATTTTCATTAAAAATACAAAAAATATTAATAAAATTATCTATTTCCTCAAATGAAATCTATTTTAAGATTGCTTATAAATTTGGAAGCATAGAAAAGTAATAATTTATTTTTTTAATTTCTTAAAGTGTGTAATTTTAATTATAGAAACATAAAATCAATCATTATATATATAGGTCTATTAATAGCAAAATCAATTAAATATGTTAGATACTATTTTTGGTGGGCAGCAATAGGATTTAATCTATAAAACTAGAAAAATAAATTATAATAGAGAGATAGATATAAAGCAATTAATGTGTACTGATGAATTATGAATTACAAAGGAAGTAGTATTTTTTATTTATCTAAAGAAGGCTAATCTACAACAAAATAACACCTTACTCGAATCTACCTCCTTAATAATATTTTTTATATGAAACTCAAGTAATTATTTATTTATTTAAGTTATTTTGAAGTAAATTAGAAAATACAAAAGTGAATAAACGTATTATATTTTAATACAATAATAAAATTTTCTTATCTTTTAAAGCTGAAATAGCTAGCTATAGAAGAAAACTAAATTATTATTTTTAGATAATCACAACTTTTTTAGTTGGCTTTTATGTAAAAGAATCTTTTTTGTTTTAAAAATATAAGCAATCTATGTTATTTTATTTACATTTTTGAAAAATAATCAAATTAGAAAGTTGATTCAAAAGTTAATTATTACTGGTTTTATAAACATTAATATTATCAAACAACAAACATTAATATTTTTAAATTTATAGAAAATAAGTATTAGAATCAGCTAAGTTAGTAAGTAAGTTATTTGATAAATGCTCTACTTCTATTTAGGGTTATCAGCTATAGCCTCACTTGTCATCCACGCAATCTCATTTGCATGGTTTTAAAATAATTAAGATAATAATTATCACAATATAATAAATTTGTGGCTGAAAGACCCGCTAGAAAAAGTCATATTATTAGATATCAATCAAGAATGCCCAAAGGATACTAATGAATTTAGCTTAGAATTTTAATATCCTGGAAATTCCGGACTATGTAATTGCATACCAAATCCATAGGATTCATACTCAAGTTAATCCAGTAGTAATGATAGCTATAATAGATTATTGCAAAAAAATTTAGTTTCATGTTCTACAATCAAATGTCAAGCGAACTATGTTTCTAATGAAGCCGTTCCACCAATAAACAGCTCTAATCTTGATACATTTTTTTATAACTCAAATAAAAAAGTGGCACAAAAACTCTGCGTAAGTAAAATAGGTGGATACTCATTTAGTTAGAAAGCCCCCTTGTAAAAATAGTGTGGTAGTGATGAAAAATATTGCGATTTTAAAGCTTCTTCTTAAGGATTTGATATGGATTAAGGCTATTGTATTCCCAAAGATAGATAATGTTAAATAAGCAGTTTTGCTTTAGGAAATTATGCATAAAATGTTGTCAATCAGCTCCCTATAGTTGATATAACCATATCTACTTAGAACTAAATGAAAGCCTATAATATACTTTAATATTCTACTGTTAGTGAATAAGATTTGCTTAAATGGAATAATATTAATTATGATCCTGCTTATACTAACTTACTTAGTAATACATATTAAATTTAAATTAATCATATGCCAAGAGTTAAGGTTAGATGTAGAGAATAATTAAAATAAAATCTCAATGTCTATTTAGGTCCAGATGGTGCTTATAAAGTCAGTTTAGCTCTACTTATCTTTACAACATTTTCTTGCACATTAAATTTTTTCTTCTTTGGAATAGGAGATATCTGTGACATGAGTAGATGTGATAAAGGTGGATGCAAAGGTTATTGTGAATCCAAAAGAATTTAAAAGAGTCATTCTCACTTAAAAAACACGATGCTTATTATGAAATGTATTTTGCTTATCTTGCAAGTTATTCTGAACGCAGTAATGATAGCTTGCTATACAAATTTGATTGATTACATGGGTTATATGATTAATGACAAATGTCTAGACTCATATGTTGCTGATGCAATTAAATACAATGATATAATATCACCTGGATATTACTCAGAGGGTTTAACATTTGCTACTTTAATCCTATCATCTGTCTAATTACTTTTTGACTAAGTGTTTTATCAAACAATAAAAACGCTTATTTTACTTATTTTTTGTTAAATAAAATTCTAAATATGTAAACAAAAACCTCCTGTAGTTATTAAGTTAGACACTTTAACAGAATAAAAGTTAAATAATGAAGAAAAAAAACCAGATATAGAGTAAAACATCTAGCCATAATAAAATACTTAAACTTTGAATCAAATAATTCTACCAATTATTTCAACAGCAGTACCAAAAAATCCTGATAATGCAGATGATAAAAGTTCAAGCACTGTAAAGGATATTTTTGAAGAATGTAAAAGCGATTCAAGCGAAGTAAAGTCAGTTAAAAATTAGACTAATAAACCTGCAGATGAAAGAGAGAGCAAATAAATTAAGCCAATAATGATACATTAAAAACATAAAGCATAGAATAAAAAGCTCTCGAGCTCAGTAGATTATGAGAATAAAAAATTAAAGTAGGCTCAAGAAGATAAAAAGGATAAGTAATTTTAAAAGTAATAAAAGAAATTACAAAAATAACAACTTAAATTGAAAATAAGTCAAGCTAAATTGCTTGCTTAAGTGTAACTAAATGGATAAACAAATAGCTTTAACTAAAATACTAAATTTCAAGAAGATGTATTTGATATTTAAATGTTGTACGATGAATAAAAAGAACAAAAGAAACAAGGTTTACAAAAATAATAAATTAAGCGTGCAAGCAGCATTGGTTAGAATAAAAATAAAGAAAATAAAGATTCTAAAGATAATTGTAAAAAAGGAAATAGAAGTTTTGAAGATATAAAAGTCAAGTAGAAGAATGTTTAAATTCTTAGCTTAGATGAATCAATAGATTCTAATTAAGAAGAATAAAAGGCCAACCCAGATTTCTTATCTCGTCAATAATAAAATAAGATAAAAAAATAAAATTAGTAATCAAAATCATTCGAAGAAAATTTAGATGACATTTTTACAGATTTAAATGTATATTAAAAAGATTAGTAAAACAAGTTTTAACAGCTTAACTAAATGAAAAATCAAATAATATATTAAAATAATTAATAAACTAACTACTACTCTAACACACCAGTATAAGAATATAATTAACAAATTTTATTTGATGATGATCAAAAAGGTTCTGATAAGTTTACTCAATTTAAATAAAAGAAATCCGATGAAATTATTTAACCTCCAGAAGCACCAGAACCTCCTGAGTAGAGTGAAAAATCTCATTTTTCAATGATATAATTTGATGATCTTTGAAAAATATTTTATTAGTTTCATAAAAATACATATTAAATTATTTTTTTTTGGAGTTATTCTATGTAAAAATTAAGTAATTTTTTATTAAAAATTTAAAAATAAATTATTTTAAAAATACTTTCGAAAATTTAATTTTTTATAAAAACAATTGAAAATATCAAGACTAAATAAAAAATCTAATATTCAAGAATTATGTTTGTATTTTTATCCTGATATTGTTTCTCATTTTACAATGATATAAGTTGATGATCACTGAAATATATTTGATTAATTTATTGAAAATACATATCAAGTCAATTTATTTTTGGAGTAATTCATCTTAAATATAAAATGATTTTTGATAAAAAAAGTTTATTCGCAAATTTTAAGATAAATTATTTTAAAAACAATTTGGAAAATTTCATTTTTTTTTATTAAAACTAATATTCACCAGTTTTGTTTGTTTTTTATTTTATATGAAGATTTATCACCAACTTTTTAAATAACTTAAAAAAAGAAGATGACAAACAACTTGAATATAATTTTATATTAATTAGTTTTTTTATGAATCAATTCACTCACAAAACAGATAAATTTTGAAAAAGAAAAAAAATAATTAAATTAAAAGTTGTATTTTGTTCAATTTATGAATAACTTTTATCTTAACCAAAGCCTTTTTTACATTAATTAATTTCAAAAAGATAATATAAATAATAATCTTAATTAGAGAAACTAATTTTAATAAAAAGATTAAACATATGTTTTATGCTTTCACATCAATCCTTGCATTAATATCCTGTGTTTTGCAAGGTATATTTTATAATGATGTAAGCAAAACCTAAAATAGCAATTTCAATTAAATTGTTAGTATGTGGCAGCTTGATCCAATTAACTAGATTGCTCTTATTAAACCTGGATAATCATGCCCTGCTGGGTTAAGTGTTTATGATTCATCATTGATTATTCCATAAAGCTCAAATCTTTGCTCTTGCGAAACAGCTAGTACTCAATTTTCGATATACTTAGATTAGTAACTTTTTATTTGTGGATAATGTTCCAAAGATACTATTGAGGTGAAGCGATTTTAAGGCATACCTTAACAAAATTTAACTGATCAGTTTTATATCCAAGATTATTAGGGAAACATATAAAGATATCGAGTTTGTATAAATAGAATATAAGGCTACTCTTTTGTTAAGAAAGCTCCGTCTTCTACAAGCTGTGAGAATAACGAATAGCTATGTAGTTGGCCCAGCTCTTCTAATCCTGATTATAGTTATTGTATTCCTTTATAATATACTTGCTATTCGGAAGGTGTTAATATTCCAAATTAAAATTTCTACTTACAGTTGCCTTTGATTGATATTAAAAATAATAGTTATAGTTTCTAAATTCTAAATTTTTAACCTGCAGGATAGTTCACATAATAGCAAATATATGATTAAAATTAAATTATTTATAACCAACAGTTTGTTCCTTTTTTTAGCTAAACCCCTATTTTAAATCAAATTTTAGTCACATATCCTTCTGTTAAAATGAGCTGTAGAGATTCATTTAAAGCTTCTTTTTCAAGCTATAGTGGATAGAGTTATGGTTTAAATATAGCTACTGGTTTAGTAGTAGTCACTACTATAGCAGCAATGATGGGAATAGTTCTTTTAATTTTCGATATCATAGACTTTTATTAAATAGTCATCAAAAAAAAGGAACCTAAAATAAATTATTGGGTAAGAAAGAGGTTTTCCTTAAAAAATACCTCAAAATGGAATACATTTATCATAGTAAAACCTTTAGTTATTTTAATATCTTTTATACTCTATATTCTTATATGCGAAAACTATTTAGTAGCTTCTTTAGAAATGAAAAAGCTTATAAATGAATCATGTGTTGATTTAAGCTTTAAGTATATTTTTAATTACTTTAGTGATTATTCCTAATCAGATCTACCTCGCGAGTCTCTTGTGTATGCAGCTTTGGTTTTATTAATTTTTGTTTTTTTTAGTGACCAAATTGTAATATAAACTTTTAATTACTTAGCTCATGAATTAGGAATAGTAAAATTGATGAATAAAATTATGTAAAAAAATGATAAGTAATAAGTATAAGTTTAATAAATTCCTATTGAAAAAAATTAAGAACTTTAAAATAATTAGGAGGAAGTAATTAATGAAGAAAATAATATCAACTAGCAATCATAATAAATTAATGGAGATATTTAATATAAATTAGATAACCCACAAAATGAACAAATAACTCCTCAAAATACTGACCATGACCATGTAATTACGATTGAAAATATAGAAAAAGATAATGAAAATAAATAACCTGAATCTTTATCTTAATCTTATGGGCTTTAAGTAGTTCCATCTAATCTATCTTAAAAAAAGCGTAGTTCAATTTAAGAAGTCAAGCTAAGCCAGTTTGGAAGATAGCAAAAATCTAAAATAATCAAAGAAAATGATCAACTGTAATATACATAATAATTAATCTCAAGTTAATAATAGATCAACCCTTAACAACAAAATAATTAAGTCTCTTGACTCAAATAAAATTTTTTTAAAAATATTTATCTCATTTCTTCTTTGTTAAGTTAATATATTATTTGAAACATATATACTCTAGATTATAATTTAATAGTTCTATCCTACTTCTAAATTATTCAAAAGTATTTTGTATTATATCTCTCATTTTCACCCTACTTCGGTTGGCCGGTCTGTGGGTCTTATAGAGGGAATATGGTATTAGAATTATTCTTAGGTATTAATTTTAGGGAACTTTCAGTCATCAATATATTATTACTATTATTAAAATATAAAAAATATTATTAATAATAATAAAAAAGTACTATTTTATTATATAACCAAAATTCACAAAGATGATGTTTATGAAATTATTCTTATTTATATAGTGTTGATTTTTTTGCATATTTTTTATCGAATCAAGAGTAAAATTTAGTAATAAATATTTATAAACGAATGAGCTACTATTTTACAAATTAAATTATAATATTTATTCTTTCTATGAAGCAATCATTTATTATTTTTTAATGAGTCAGTGATAATAAATCATCAAAAATGCATATTGTATTTCTATTATGTTTTTTTTTAGTTAAAAATTGTGTTAAATAATATCAATGTACTTGGCTAATGAAATAAAGAATGATAGTAATTAAATTATAAATATATAATTTTGATAGAATTTACAATTTATCTTTATTACAGTCTAAAATATTAAAAAGATATAAAATAAACACTAACTTTAACTACTTAGATATATAAGACACATTTTTATTTTATTTAATATTTTTGCAATGACTGAAATACCCAAGACAACTAGAATAATATCACAACATTAATAAAATATTCCAAAACAAAACGCTATTTGTAGTATCCAATTATTAAATGATAATGAAGATCAGTTTAAAGAAGATCAGAACACACAATAGCAACTCACTGATAACATTTATAATTTTTAATCTGTTTCAAATGCTTTTATATTTTAATAAAATGAAAAAACTGAACACTTATTTGATTCAATTAGGTAGGATTCTAATTCTACTAATCAGTCTTTTAAAAATTTGAATGAGACATAGAGAGTATTTTACATATTTATTTTTTATCAATTTAATAATCATCATTTAATTCAAAAAAGCAAATCATAATCTAAACTCTTCTATAAAGTTAAAAGAACCCTTAAGAAAGCAAAGTCCTTTTATAAATCATTCAGTCTCTTCCAGCTTTTAGAGAAAACAAAATTTAAAATGAAAAATTAATAGATAGCTTTTTTTTTGAGAACATCGAACTGATTTCATTATCAAAGGGGTCTTGTGTATTTAATTTTGGTAATAAATATTTTTTTTAATTAAACTGGCTGGAAATTCTTAAATACTAACTATAAATAACATATAATAAATAGGTGATTAAAGTGATGGATATTATACATTATTAGAAGGTATTATATTTACTATATAAAGGTATTTTTAATTAAATCATATTAATATTTAGGTTTTTGCTATGTCACAATCCCCAAAGAAAAGATTAAGAAACACCTAGAAAAATTAAATGAGAATAAGTTTAAAGATGAAAACCTGAGAAGAGCTTATAAAGTACTTAGTTAATCCGACTTTTAAAGCATCTAAGAATATTTTAAGTTTCCTGCTTTAAAACACATCACAAACCAAGTAACTATAAAAATTTTAGATGCTGGCTCAAGCTTTGGAGAAATTTCAATGCTTTTTGGTAAAAAAAGGTAAAAAATTAACTTAAAAGCTAATAAAATAAAAAGTAAATCTATAAAAAATTTATTTAGAACAGCTTCAGTAATTTGTGGAAGCGAGTGCAAAATTATGAAAATATCGAAAAAGAATTTTGAAAAATTAGTTGATAAAGAGGAGCAAATTACTGTTTTAAATCAGAGACTCGAATTCTTATCTCAAATATCTTTTTTAAATGATCTACCCAAAATAATAATTTTAACTTTGATTTAAGAATCAGAAATATTAAATCTCTAAAGAGGAGCTAATATATATAAGTAAGGAGATAAAGCTGATTCAGTCTATGTGATTTAGGAAGGAACAATATAGATATGCAAGAAAATCCCTAACTAAGTTGCTGAAAAAGAGAGGCAAAAGCAATAGAGCAGCTTATATAACTAGCCAGATATTAAATTAAAATAATAAAGTGTAAATTCATTCAAAAAAAATTATGTCAAGAAAAATTAAATAAAAATAATTTTTTTATCTTATTAGTAAAAGGATGCTCAATAAATAAGTAGATCTAATACTTTAAATAGGTATGAAAAGTCATCTTACTAAATTTAGTAGACTGAAATGTAGCCTATAGTATTATTAGATAAAGGCTAATACTTTGGAGAGGATCAAGTTTTTAGTCCTGAGTAAATTAGAAATAGCTAAGCTTAAGTATAGTCTCCTTAAGCAGTAGTGATTGGAATTAAAATGAATATTTTAGTGCCCATATTGATTGAATACAACTGCTTAGATGTTTTATTTAAAGAACTAGACTTGAAATAGTAATTTAATTCTAGGAGATAATAGTTAATTTAAACATAAAATTAGAAGCAAAGCTAAAAGAAAATAAAATTACAATCTAATTTAGATATGATATAGTAGGTTTAACAATCATTGATGAGTAACAGAGATTTTTTTAGTAGATCTATAAATACTATTAATTAATAAGATTCTCTTTAAAATATATAGCAAGAAAGCTAAAATTTCATTTTATCATAAAAAAGAATACTTAGTCCAATGACTTCTCCTAAATCTTGCAGGTTTGATTCTTAAAAAACCAATCTAAACTTTGAAATGAAATTGGATAAACGTTTTTCATAGCAAAATTAAAATTAATCACCAAAACTATAGAAAAAATAAATAAAGTAGGATAAAAATGATTCTCATGTTAAATCTGGAACAACTATCTAAAAAATAAATATTGAAAGAGACATTGACTAAAATTAAGAGATCCATCTTTATAATGCGAAAGAATAAATAGATTAATAAAATAATGTTTCAAAGTATCAAACTAAAAAAATAAATAAAATTGATTAAGTTAGTAGCAAAAATAAGTCTTCAAGTGAAATGTGCTTAGATGGTAAAAAAATAAATGATCATTTTTTATTTTAAATCAAAAGTGCTTAGTTTGGAACACAAGCAACTAATACAACATTAAATACCATTCCTTCATAAAACAATATCAATATCGCTTTGATTAACTCTAACCCAAATAATTAAAATTCTTTAAAATAAAGCCATTTAGTTAAAACAGATTTTGAAATTGTACAAAGCAGAGAATTTGATGACATGAAGTCACCTAAAAACAATAATATAATTCAGAAAATAGATTTCGATTTCTTAAAATAATAATATATGTAACTATCAACCTTGACAAAACTAAAGTAGATTAAATAAGAGCACATCAAAAGAAAAGATCATTTTAGGTAACTTCAAGAAAGTAGTTAGAAACAAACGATAAATATTTAATAAGAACAATTAGATTCTTAAGGCTCATCTCCACTTCCACTTCCCTTGAATAAACAATAATTAAAAAAAAATTAATAAATTAAACCTAAACTAGACTTGTTGAATTATTTATATGAAAGAGGAATTGAGACTGAAAGAATCGTTTATAAAGAAAGGAGAAATCCTTAAACAGATCGTTCACCTTCTGATTAAAACTAAATAAAATTAACTTTATCAAAAGAATAATTTTTTTAGAAAGAAAATGCTTAAAATAGCCTAATGTCTCAACTAACAAGTGGACTTAATAAATATATAAAGACTGATTAAAAAATTACAGAAAATAATTAATAAGCATTAAAAGTAATCCCAGCTATTTACATTGAAGATTCTTTAAACCTGAAAATAACTAATCAATAAAACTGTAAAACTAATACAATAAATTCTATAGAAAATGATAAATCTTCACTTAATCTTACAAATCGCACACTAAGATCCTAGAATTTATAACCATTAAGTAAATAAAATTCAAGTAGCATTAATTTGCACACTCTCAACCTACCTAAAATATCTTTCCAATAGAAGCCATATATACGAATGAAATAATTTTCTCTTCATCACATTAATAAAACTTCAGAATAAAATTGATTTTAAAATAGATTATAAAAATTTACATTAAATTTAATAAAACTTCATAATGTATGAAAAGCATTTGATTAATTCAAAATATTAAAAACAAATAGAAAAAAATAAAATTTAATTTTGATAAAAATAATAATGAAAATAAGAATAAATATTATTATTTTCAGGGTAAAAAAATTATTTTCTCAAATTTTAGGTGCCTTAAGATTTTGACAATAAAAACCCTCTTCTAAAAATATTTAAAAATAAAAAACCTTCATTCTACCCTATCCTTAAATCAAGTTAATTTATTTATAATTAATAATAAGTTAAATTTTACATCTTTAAATAATATTATTATTTATAATCAGTATATTTTTGAAGTAAAGTATAAATAAAATGAGTATTTTCATAAAAGCCTCCAAACAAAATTAAAACTTTTATTTATAATTTTTTGCTTATTAAAAAAACTTGTTGTTTCGGTATTACACATAATTCTTTCAAATTTTTTCTTGCTTATGCATCTATTTTTTATTTTTAAATACTACCTATTATTAATGCTTGTCTAATTTTAGCTGGTTTATAATATATGTTCAAGCCTTTTATAAACAATTTTTACAGCTTTTAATTAGTTTTAGTTATTTTTGGTGATGAAGGGCATTTAGAGTTCTTTTTAAATACACTACTCACATAAATACAGCCAAAAGGGTCTTATACAGCATATTTTTACAACTCAAAGGTTCATATAGCAAATAGCTCTTTATTCATTATATCTTTTTCATTTATTTTAAATAAGTCAATAGTAGTAATAGTAGTGAAAATAGCTATTATATGATTTCAAAAAAATTATAATAAATAAATAAAAATAAATATTGATTAAACCATTTATATTTATTTTCTAATTGCATGAATTCTTTATTCATATCTATGAAAACCTTAAACATTAATTATTTTAAATTTATCAATTTAAAGTTTATGAATATTATTAAATTTCGAAACTTTTTTTTTGAAATTTTATAATTAATTTTCAAAAATATTAAAAAAAATAATGAGTAGAGAATAGCAGTAAAATGGATATGAATTATTCAATAAAAAATAAATGGATTAATGATATATTTAGAGTTATTCAGGCTTTTAATTCATTTATTTATTCAGCATTGAAATTTACAACTTTATTTATTTTAAATTAATTGATTTTGTGCAAATTTTTTAAAAAACAAATCTTATCACATATTAATTAAAAAAAAGATCAGATTAAATAAAGGAATTTTACAAAAAAATTTACAAGTTTTGTAGCTTAAGTATAGCATATTTTATTAGCAATTTAAAGGAAATAACTTTCAAGCAACATATTTAAGTATTGATAGACAGAGTAAATGTTCGTTTTTTTATCAAAAAAAATTGGTATGCCAAATAATGCAAAGATTGAGGCAGTTTGTTGGAATAAAGAATAAGGATGGATTGCTGCAGGAGGTGAAAAGGGTATTTTAAAGGTATTAAAAATAGAAGATTAAAGATAAAAAGATGGAAGTAATCCTACTACAACAGGATAATTGTTAGTTAATAATACTCTTGAATACCATACAAGCAACGTTTATTTAGTAACTTGGAATGATCGTTATCGCAAACTCACTTCAGTAGAGGAAAATGGAATTATAGTTGTTTGGGCATATTTTAGAGAACTATAATTATGGGTAATCTATCAAATTTAATTATTTTGCACAATTTTCTAATAGAATATAGCGAAAAAAAAAGCTAATAGATATTTTTAGCAAAGAATTTATAAAATGGAATTAGAATTTGTTTTTTTCTTATAAATATTTTATATTATTACTACAGAAAGAAGAAATGATTAATGATCGTAAAAAGAGTGTAGTTAGAGATTTGAAATGGTCTCCAGATGGCCAAAAAGTTTGTATTGCATATGAAGACGGTGCTGTAATTGTTGGTAGTGTAGAAGGTTCACCCTTGTGGCGTAAAGAATTTCCACATAAGTAATTTATATATATATTTTTTTTCATCAGCTAAGGATAAATAAATATAATATAATGAAATTTGGCTATCAGTGCAATGATTTTTTATATTTCAAATGCTAATAGATCTTAAAATATAAAAAACTAGGTTAGCTTTAATTGAATGGAGTCCTGATAGCAAAATGATGATTTTTGGTACTCCAGAAGGAGAAGTTAGAGTTTACGATAGCTAAGGAATGGAGATGTAAAGACTTAAAATACACTGTCTTTAAAAATTGATAGATCCCTCAAAGTCTTTTAGCCCCGACTTACCTCTGGCAGCTATTGACTGGTTTCCACAAGCAAAAATGTATACCGATGATACTCCTCCTGGATTGTGCATTGCTTATTGTAAAAAAATTAAAATTGAATTATTAATTTTTATATTCAGATAAATAGATGAATATTTAGATAGATTAAATGAATACTTTAAGCCTACTTTTTGCAACTTATTAATTTAAAATTTAAAAAAGTGAATTAAATTAAATTAAAAAATATTTTAAATAAATTAAAAGAATGTGGTAGAGTCTAATTGATGAAGAATGAAAAAGATGATGAACCAGTTTTGATTGATACAATGATGAAGATTTTCACTGTAAAGTGGAATCCAAGTGGATCTATGTTTGCCATTAGTGGAACATAAGATGAAAATGGAGAATTAAAAGGTGTAGTTTAATTCTACAGTAACGCAGGTCATCATCTTAAAACCTTAAGAGTATAATTTTTAAATATTTTTAGCTAAATTTAATTTAAATTTCTATTTTTAGGTACCTGGCTCAGATAGAGTGACAGGAGTTTCTTGGGAAGGTAGTGGACTTAGAATTGCCATGGCAGTAAATTAAGCAATATTTTTTGCTAATATCAAGCCTGACCATAAGTGGGCTTATATGTCTGATGGAACTTTGGCTTTTGCTTATTAAAAAATTGACAGAGTTGAATATACAATTATTTTTTGGGATACTATAAATAATAAGAAAAACTTAAAATTTGTTAAGAATCTTTGTTGTCTCCGTGCTTCTGGTGATCTGTGCTGCATTGTTACTGAGCTGATTGGATATGATTTATGGTAAATAGATTTATGCAATAGTATAGGATCTCCTATTGATAGCAAACAAATTAATATTTATCCCAATGCAGTAACAATGACTAAGACTCATATTATTGTAAATTTGATTTTATTATTTATTTTAAGTATTTATTGTGATTTTTATTATTCTAGGTGTGCAGCTAAGACCATGTATACGCTTGGTAATATAAAAATTAAGTTGAACGTTTGACAACTTTTGAATAATAAACTGGTTTGAGAAGAGTTGGTAGAGAACAGGCTTGGTTCATTGACAAGGAAAATGATTCTAACAACTAATATGACAAAGATACTTATGATGTTGAGCCTTAGAGCGAAGATGTGATCTGCACTGTTGCTGCTAATGAGAATTTCCTTCTTGTTGCACGTATTTCTGGTACAATTAATGTTTATACATTCCCACATATTTCTCTCGAGAATAAGCTTCATATTTAAACCCGTCCTTCTCAAATGAGTTTAAATAAAGATGCAACTCGTCTTGCTATTATTGATCATAATGGAAACCTAAATATTCTAAAAGTAAATTTAGCATTTTTAATTTTTAAAAATTTTTTTAATTGATTAAATAATAAAATTAGATCACGCCTTAAGGTGATGAATTGCTTCCTTTTGAGAAGAAAGAATGTTGGTTTGTCAAATATTCTGATGACATCCCTGAAAGTTTCGTTTTTATGGAAAGAAGTAGAATGTATATAGTAAATGACTAAACACCTGAAGAGCCAATCATCACTGAGGGATATATTTGCTAATATAAAGACTTTTAAGTTAAAATTGTATATTTAGATGACATAATGAAATCACCTGATGGTGTTTTGAGAAAAGAAGAACTAACTCTTGAAATAGAAGCAAATATTCTAAAAGATATTAAAGATTAATTATATAAAAAGAGTATGTAAGAAATGTTTATTGTAATTAAATAACATGATAACGATTGTCTTTGGAGAGTTTATGCAAAGAAAGCACTTGAAGATAATGATTTTGATTCTGCTGAAAATGCATTCGTTTAATGTAAAGATTATGCAAGTCTTAAATTTTTGTAAAGGGTCAGAGAACTTGATGATCGTGAAAGATAGAGAGCTGAAATTTAATGCTATTTTAATAAAGTTGAAGAAGCTGAGGAGATCTATAATAAAATAGAAAGAAGAGATTTATCCATTCAAATGAGAATGAAGTTAGGAGATTGGGCTTAAGTTGTTGATCAAATTAGAGAAGGAACAGGTAACTTTTTGTTATTCGTTTGTTTTTATTTTAATTTCATAATTTTACAATTTTATTCAGGTTAAGATGTCGAATTGTAAAAGGCTCGTTTGGAGTTAGGTAATTACTATGCTGAAAACTTTTAGTGGGATAAAGCTGCAAAACAATACGCTTTAGCCAAATATAATCCAGGATTAATTGAAGCTTATACACGTATTTAAGACTATGAAGGTCTTGAAAAACTTATTGCAGAAATACCTGAAAGAAATGAATTATTGCAAGATATGGGAGATAGGTTCTAGTAAGCAGGTCTTTGTGATGCTGCAGTTAAATGCTATGAAAAATTCGGTGACATTAAGTAAGCTATAGATTGCTGTGTTTTATTAAACCATTGGAATTTAGCAGTAGAACTTGCAGAACAATATAATTTTGTCTAAATTGAAGGTTTACTTGTCTAATATGCAAACTAACTTTTAGAAAAACGTAGAAAGTTAGAAGCAGCTGAGCTCTATCGTAAGGCCAAAAGAAATACAGAGGCAGCAAAAATTCTCTCTCAAATAGCTGATGACTTAACTGAAAGAGATGTAAAACAAAATTAAATATAATTTTTTAGAATTCATAAACAAATAAATTTTCAAGAGTTAAAATTAATATTAAAAAAAAAATAAAATATAAAAATAAATAAATAAATAAGTAAATAAAAATGTTAACTTAGTATTTAATTTAGAAAATTTATTATAAAAAATTTTCTTTCTTTGAGTTCAATAAAAGTTAAATTAATGATAGATAATAAAAAATATCAATTGGAAAAAATAATTTTAGATGTTTTTTAATTTAGATTTTCTTAAAATATTTCTTGTTAATTTCAATTAAATTAAAAACCAAGGCAAATCCTCTTAATATCAAAAAAATGTATGTTATGGCAGCTTTAGAAGTTGATTTATATAAAAAACGTATGCTTGATGCTACCATGACAGGATAAGCTACATCAACTGCAAAAGTAAATTTGATTTTAAATTTGTTTGCAATTAGATTTTAAAATTAATTCTTTTAAAAGACTTTGAATTCATTGATTACAAGCACAATCAATACATCAAGTGCTGATAAAATTTTAAATAATCCTTGGAGAGGAGCAGAAGCTTGGCATTTCTTTATTCTAGCTTAGAGATAACTTTATAATGGTTAGTTTAAATATGCTCTTAAATCTGCACTTCGTTTAGGAGAATATGAATTAGAGATAGATTAAAAAAAGATTTATTCTTTGATTGCAATTGCAGCTTATTACAACAAATCATTTAGAGAATGCTCTCGTGCCTTCGTTAAACTTTAGAATCTTGAAAATATAACTGAAGATGAAAAAGAAAGATATGAAGCTATAGCTGTTTCTATATTTACCAAGTAATATTAAATCACAGATAAATTATTTTAATAAAAATATTTTTATTTTTAATAGACATCCTCCTCTTGATTCACCTTGCGAATATACACCATGCGTTGGCAAAAATTGTTCTCAACAAGTCAGTGAATAGTATGGAATTTAACTTTAATAAATTTATCTTATATATATCTTAATTTTTAAAAATAGTGATATTCATTGTAGAGCTTGTGGTAGTAATTTCTCTCCTTGTGTTGCATCAGGAAGACCTATTTTCTAAAAAGAATTCTACTAATGTAAAAACTGCCGCCATAAGATGATAGAAAGCGAAGTATCAAGATTAAAACTTTACAATTGTGCTCTCTGTCACAGCCCAATTGATTTTAAGAGATTTACTGAAAGTAATAATAATAACAATAATAATATTTGAAATAAAAGTGTCTGTTAGTGCATCAAAATAAATTATGAAAAGATATTTTTATTTTAATTAATTTTTATTTTACATATATTTTGTATTATTAGTTAAATGCCAGTTATATAAAAATAAAATAAGATATCTATGACTAGCATTAATAAATTTATAAAGGCAAGTATACTAAAAAAATGCAGTCAATTTCAATTTTTAATCTTTTTAATTATTTAAAATAAAAATCAATTAAAATTTGTTTAGTTTGGTTGATTAAACTAATATCAACAAATTAATAAATTAAATAAATATTTTAAATTTAGTTGTATATTTAATTTATTGAATATAATAATTAATGATTATAGATAGCTCAAACTCACAGCCTTGACTATTTTCTGATATTTTCTCATTTTAGTTAAAATATGTGATTTTTTACTAATTGTTACTTCTAATTAATATGTAAGTGTATCTAAATACTATACTTATTTAATTTAAACATTTTATGTTAATATCTTTTTTATTTTACCACCCTATATATTTTTTTTGTACGCAATAAAAACTCCAATAAAATATTTCAAACTCTTATTAGCTTAGTAAACTAAAAAAAAAGTATAAGCTTTTGCTATCTAAAGTACTTACTATTTGATAATAAATAAAAAAGTAAACTATCTCAGAACATTTGTAAATGTAAATTCCTTATTTATCTATGGTATAATCTCAAAAATATTTTAAAAATATTTTGTTTTAAGATAATGGTTTTAAATTAAGTATTTTAAGTTTCTTTTATGAGAAATTAAAATTATTTTTTTTAAAGAAATACTTTTTATTAAATTGAAAATTTTATTTGATAAAGAACAACTACATTAAAGTGATAAAAGCAAAAAAATTAATTAAGTATTTTAAGTATAAATTGATATAAATAATTCAATATAATAATAATTTATTAAGATATTCAATTATTTAATTATCTATTTGAGATGAATAACAAGTTATAATTTATTATAGTAGTTATTGGTTTAAGCTATTTAGTAAACTTTTTAGGAGTTTTCTAACACTAGCAAGAGTTCATAGCAAACTACACTGATTGTAAGTATTTAGAGGCGGATATTTAGCTATATGGCACAGAGGATTCTGTTGTATATAATTAAGATATCATTATTGGTATCCATACTAGCATTCATAAAGTGTTTACCACAAATATAGATGTTGATTAGCTTGAAAAAGGAGGATTTTTTGCAATTTATGGTATATCTAAAGGTAATTTGTTAGCTAGAAAAGTAAAAGTGCTAAATTATCCAGAAAATTTATTATTTAACCCTCATGGAATCGAAATCAGAGAGGAATTTTTATATGTTATTAATCATTCATTTTATACAGGAGGAGAAAGAGTAGAAACTTATAAAATAAGCTTAGATGAAGAAGGATTAGTTGTTTTGAATTATTTGCATGCAACTCATATGAATTCTAAGCTTAATGGAACTACTAATGATATATTGTTTTTATCAGAAACAAGGTTTATAATAACTTAATGGCTAATTTTTCCTATACCTCTTAAAGGAAATGGAGATTAAAGCTTAATTTATACTTTAACTGCTATGATATCATAGTTATTAAATCTAAAATTTACATATGCATATAATTGTAATTATGTTTAAAGTGGAGAAGCTGTATGTCACAAGATAGAGAGCTCACTTGGTGTTGCTGTAAATGGCATTGCTTTTGATGGCAAGGATACAATAGCAATAAGTGATACAGTTGGTAGATCTTTAAAAATTTATAAGCTAAATGAAAAATATGAATTAGAACTTTAACAGACTTTACAAACTAATCTTATGATTGATAATATAAATTATGACAAGTAGACTTAGCAATTTATTGCAAGTGGAAGTAATACTGTTTACGAATATCTTTTGTTTAACAATAAGTTAGAAAGAGTGTTAAAAAATAAATCAAACAAATCTTCAATTAAATATTCAGCAGTTGTTCAAGCATTTAAATATAACTAATTTAATAAATTGTTTGAACCAGAATTAATCTTCCAGTCATCTCATTCAGTTGCAACTATTTCTGGCGCATTATTTGATCATTCCTAAAAATATTTATTCTTAAATAACTTCTCTGATAAGAGCATCGTTGTTTGTGAGAAGAATGTCTAAAAAAAATGACTATTTTAATGAAATTTGTATTTGTATTTATATAATTTACAATAAATTTTCAAAAATTAAAAAATTAAAAATTAAGCTTATATTTTTTAGTTCGATTTGATGAACCAAATAAAAAATTTCTTATTAATTATTTATGTGTAAGTAAGTATTTTTATTAATAGATATCTGCAAATATACCTACCAATTACTTTTTTGTTTTTATTGTGGAAATCTTACATTTTCTTTTTAGCAAAATTTCAAGAAAATATATTCTTAAACTAATTATTTAAATTCAACTCATATTTTATTTTGCTAAAAAAACCTACATGATTTCAAAAATTCAATAAGGCATTTTTCATGAGTTAAGATATATCAATAAAATTTATTTGATAATAGATAGTGAAAAATACAAAAGATAAGAAAAATATTTCAGCTAATAAGAAATATCAAAGTTGAATGACTAAATATAAATGATTTGATTAGATAAGAGTTTCCGTTTTTTCTAAGATGAAATAGAGGATTAATATTTTTGTAAAATTAAATTAGATGATTTATATTTTCAAAGATACAAAAGTGAATTTATAAATTTGATAAGATTTCTAATTTTTTATTAAGTTACTAGGTTCTAAAAATAATTGTGCATGTAAATGCAAATGGAATAATCAATTTAAAAAAATAAAAAATTGGTGCTAAAGCAAAATCTAAAATTAAATATTATCCATAATATACAGGAGCTTTATAGCGATATATTTTTAAAAGAAATTTTATATTAGCTTTGATTATTATTGTGGGAAATAGTAAATATTTTCTATCCCTAAAGATAATTTAAAAGCTAATTATTTATGATAATAAATTGAAAACAAAAAGATAAATATAAAATTATTGAAAAAACGGTGATATTTAAAAAAAATTATCTGAAAATCAAAAAAAACTTAGCATTCTCTTAACTTAGAAATCTTACTGAAATAATTCAAACAAAGTTATATTTAGTATTCTAAAATATTTGTTTTTATTGTCTTAGTTGTTTGAATGGTAATTTAATAGATGATTATAAATTTGCGGGATATAATAAAAATTAATTAAATATTTATTTTCCATGGCTACAATTACTTGAAAGTTTCGATTGAAATTTTTTAGTTTGTTAGTTATTTATTTATTTTCAGCCTCTTGAGGGATTGAATGATAAGGATAGTTATTTTTTTAATTGACATATTAAAATAGATTTTATTATATAAGAGGAAAAGTGT